GCAACATTATCCGGCCGGTCCTAAAGAGGCAGAGCTATTGCGACGATGCGAAACCCTCGTTCCGAAAACCAAAGGCGCCCCGTGGACCGCCTTCCCTACCTTTATGAAGCTTTACTTTACCTTTCTACGCGATGTCAACCTGGACAATTTGCTCGAAACATACGACCTTCTCAAGGGGCTGTTGAAGTAGGTATCACACAATTCGTTGCCGGCACTATTGCTGACCCGTGACTGTGCCATTCAGCCAATGTGTACTGGCATTAGGTGACAGCCAAATGGGTGTCATAGTCCTCCCCACCGTTCTGTACCTCTCGAAAGTCCTCGCAAAGCTGGCCATGGGCCTCGACCGACGTCCAGACTTAATTGCCCACCTGCTGCGACTCGAAGGCCGGTCAAATCAAGAAGAAGCGACGGAAAAGGTGACGCTAGTGGAGAAATCTGCAAATGTTGTCCGGGAAGCCTTCATTAAGTGTTTAACGGACAGAAGTGGCACGCCAGGTATCCACGGAAAGCCAGAAGGGAAGCGGATAGGGATCTACTTGATGGCAAACCTTTGCCTCAAGCTGCTTTTCCAGGTATGACTGGATATCCTTCAGTGTGAAATTGGACTAACATGGGCCAGTGCGGCAAACTCCGAAACGCAGAGCAAATGTTTGCGAGTATCAGCGCACAATCCCCTCCTCTGAAACACTTCCCAGCTTCGCAGCGCGTCACCTATCTATACTACCTCGGACGTTACCTGTTCTCCAACAACCTCTTCTATCCCGCCCAGATCGCCCTGCAAGCTTCTTACGATCAATGCCACCGTCAGGCGACGAATCAGAAACGAGTCATCTTGACCTACCTCATTCCTTGTAATATAATACTAGGACGCTTCCCCTCATTACAGTTATTGCAGCGTCCTGAGGCCGAAGGGCTGGTAGACAAATTCGTGCCAATTTGTCGGCTGATTGCTCGGGGCGATTATATAGCGTTCCGCGAGCATCTTGCAATTGGATCCCCTGAAACAGAATGGTTCGCTCGGAAAGGCATCCTTCTTGCCCTACGCAACAGATGCGAAATTCTTGTCTGGCGGTCACTTGCACGAAAGGTTTTTATCCACGCCGGTTTCCACGGCGATCCTTCACTTGGCCCTTCTCAACGTGGACCGCCACCATACCTCTATCTCAACAAGTTGGATGCGGCGGTCCGGTGGATTCAATCTCAGCATGCCCAGTCGGCCCAAAGCTCAATAGGATTCTTCGCCTCTAAACCCGAACCAGATTCCCAGGCTGGTCAAAATCTGTTCGGGTCCCAGATCATACACAAAGCAACGGACTGGGATTTCGAGGGGCTGGGCGAGTTGGACGCACAAGAGGCAGTCGCAAATCCAGGCCTTATAGAGAAATATGGAGACTATCTGGCACCGGATGGATATTTCGATGCGCAGGGACAGTGGCAGATGAACCCACCGGGCAGTCTTGTTGATGGACAGCCCTCTATAGATTACCAGCAATATGAGCTTGACCCGTACGCGAGTCGAGCCGACGGCGAGCAGGACTCAGGCAAACCTACTCTCATGATGCGCGAGCTTGAGTCCATTCTGGCCTCCCTCCTCACCCAGGGTCTGATGCGTGGATTCCTGACTCATAAGAATCCCCGTCTGGCGATTCCCGGTGCGCGTCTCCGTGGTGCCATACCGACTGGCTTCCCCAATGTTTGGCAGACAATCCTGGCTCGGGAACAAGAAGACGACAACGTTCCGGGATGGGTCCAACCGCCAGCGGTGGCACCACCACCGACAGCCGGAGGTGGACGCGTTGTGAATCTGTCCGGAGCGAGACCTGTCGGAGTACAGTAACGACTTTAGCTACCCATGTGGAGGCACAGCCCAATGGAGGATCTTTTGTACATAGCAACGAATACCATGACACAAACACAAAACAATTACGTGAATGATAAGCCAACATCTGGTACCTGATGTACCTGAACGATGGAACATCCGTATCAAGTCATTTAGACCGACTGGGCGGTCAAGATATCTGCTTTGGGTGATGATCGACCGCCAATCTCGGGGTCGGGCCCGAGATCTCGGTCATAATTCAAGAGCCGAGGACTAAACTCCGAAACTGCCGGCTTTTGTGGATATCTGGCTCGGATTGATGATTCTGGACTCCAAGCTTGTGGAGCAGGGTCTCTCGACCGTGATCTTACAGTCCCCAAACGGCATGGCGGCGGGTGTGGCAGAATTCTGAAGGATTGCTGAAGAATTCCAGAACAGGTGGCGAGCGCTTATCCACGAAATGACCGGGGTAGTTCCAAGATAAGCTTATTTGGGCCTACAGAACTAATATCAAGTCCAGTTCACGGCTTCTGGTCCTTCTTACATTTGTCAATGCGGTTTTGGGAGGCTCATGCTGGACGCAACCTGATACATTGGTCCGATAGAAATTGGTATAGCTCTGAGGCTCGGTCCGATTCAAACAGGCATAGCAAGGTTACAACAGGCTTCAATCCCCGGGTAGATGACGACGCCGCCCTCGGTGCAAACAGTCCCTCCTTATAAAATCTCGGACTTGCAATTATGAGCTTGCGTATACCTTGAAGGCCTTCTTTATAAAAAGGGAACCTCTCTCAGTTACTTTGCCACTTCATCACACTTTCGGATCAATAATCCACAGCATTCACTCTTTTCTCTTGATCATCTAGCTGCACGATCTTCCCCATGCGCGCTGTTTCAACTTTGGCCGGCCTGGCCGCCGCTGTGCCCCTGGCTGCGTCTGCAGCCATCCAGACAAGTTCAGCCGGCTCTGACCTTCCTGTTGTGAACACCACTTTGGGATATGTGCGGGGCACATACTCCCCCTTCCGTGGTGGTGACACCGCCGTTGTCTACAAAGGTATTCCGTTCGCCGCTGCCCCGACTGGTGAAAACCGCTGGAAGGAGCCCCAGTCACCCCAGCCCTGGTCTGGCGTCCTGAATGCAACCGAATTTGGCCCTCAATGCGCCCAGTCCTACAGCAGTGCGGGCATCTTCAGTAGCGGAAAGAAAAGCACTAGCGAAGACTGCCTTTATTTGAACATCTGGACCCCTAACTACAACGACACCTCTGACATCACCTCCAAGAACCTGCCGGTGTACTTCTGGATCTACGGCGGTCGTTTTGAGGGTGGTTCCGGTGACGTCCTGACCTACGATGGCACTGGTCTCGCCGCCAAAGATATCATCGTCGTCACCATCAACTACCGGTTGGGCCCCTTCGGCTACCTCGCCCACCCCGAACTGTCTGCCGAATCCGGTCACAATAGCTCTGGTAACTACGGTATCCTCGACCAGCAAGCCGCCCTGCGCTGGGTTCACGAGAACATCGCCAACTTCGGTGGCAATGCCAGCCAGATCACTGTTGGCGGTCAGTCTGCCGGCTCGGCCAGCGCCTTGGATAGCATGTGGAGCCCGCTGACCAAGGGCCTCGTTGCCGGTGTCATTTCTGAGAGCGGTGCTCGCGGTCCTCATGACCCCATGACTGGCAGTGCTGCCACCAGCCACCGCACCAAGGTGGCCGCCGAAGCCCAGGGTGTCGAGTTCCTCAAGGAGCTGAACGTCACCTCCATTCAAGAACTGCGCACCTCCGTCTCCATGGAGACCCTGCTCGAATACGACTCTCTCAGCGATACCATCTTCGAGGGTACCCAGTTCGCCAACGCTTCCGCATTCTTCATGGAACCCCCCATGTGGCGTCCCAACATCGACGGCTACGTCTTCCCCTACGACTACACCCAGTCCCTCCTCCTCAATGCCCACGCAGACGTGCCCATCCTCACCGGAAACAACAAGGACGAGTCCGGCGCCGAGACTGACCCCGGTCTCACCGCCTCCACCTACAATACCCTCTACCAGGAGGTCTTCCAGAACTTCTCGGAAGAATTCTTCAAGCTCTACCCCGGCGATTCCACCTCCCAGGCCAACAACAACTCGAACGCCCTCTACCGCGACATGAGTCGTATCGGCACCTGGCAGTGGGCTCTCGACTGGGCCAAGGGTGGTGCCAAGAGCCCTGTCTACACTTATTACTTCACTCGCTCCCCAGCTGAGAACCGCGACGAGGGCGCCTACCACGGCTCGGAACTCTGGTACACCTTCAACAACATCCCTTACTCCGACTACTCCAACGTCACTTGGTACCCCTATGACTATGTGGTTGAGGAGCACATGTCCAACTACTGGGCTAATTTCATCCGTACTGGTAACCCGAACGGCGATGGACTCCCTCATTTCCCGCCCAGCACTGAGTCTGAGCAGACTATGTGGTTGGGTGACTCTTGGGGTGCTGGCCCTATTTCCGATAGCGAGGAGCGTATCGAGTTCATCAAGAGCTGGTTTGCTACCATGCCTGAGTGGTAGACGGATGGGTGTATCCTATATCACCTTTTGTACAGAATCGTCTGTTCACGTTCCTGTTTATCATCGTGCCTGAGGCATGCGATGTATTATAAATATTGTCAAGTTCTTACACTCGTTTACTGGTGTATAGCTATTACTTAGCTCACTGGTACTTTACTTTGTTGAATAAATATTTATAAATAGTGGCATCGCGTATCACGCTATCCTTTTAATAATCAACCATGCTGTCACTGCGCTTATGTATAGTAAAGACTTCGGTGCTGATCCCAAGATTTTTTTACTTGACACGTCTACTGAGTAGAAAATCCGACGTATTCATATCGAAGTTCTGAACGGATAATATAAGCAAGTAGGTAGGGCATCTGATCATGTTGAACAAATACACATTGCGGATGTGCTATGCCATATAAACTGAATATTAGATGCTAATCTACTTGAGATGCCAAGATAGAAAGGAAAGTAAGAAGAGATATGGGTAGATAAGATTGAACAAAAATATCGCCATTTCGAGACACCGAAAGCTAGACATACCAGGGTATCAAGATCATCTTCAGAGGTAAGACCTTTGAATAAACGAGAACTGAAGTATAGAACGAAACACACAAAAATGAGAGAAAAGCTAGACTCCAAGAACAAACCGCGCAGCTGCCTCTATCATCTCCTCCTGCTCGTCCTGCCACCCAAGAATCTGTCCCATCATATAAATATCATGCGGCAATCCAGGCATCTCCAGATATTCGACATTATTGCCCGGAACAGCGCGCATTGCATCCGCAAACCCCCTGACACTATCACACAGCATCTCCGCACCCCCAACCTGCGCGAAAATCGGAACAGGCGTCGCAAAGGGATGCAGCGCCGGCGACAGGTACGGATCATCCAGACGGACTGACTCCGGCGGGGCAAACGCACGCGCACCCCACGCGGCCATCTCCCCATCACAGTAGTCAGTCCGCTGATTCCGGTGGGCGTTGACAGCCTGCGAGTCACCCTCGAAGCTGTACTCAACCGAGGGTGAGAACAGAAGGCACGCGCGAGGCGGTGGCAGCTCTGCAAGCTCATGGCCGCTCTCCTGCTGGAACGAGGCGAGATGGCGCAATAGAGCCATGACCATAGTAGCTCCGGATGAGTCGCCGACGAGCACGATGCGGGACGGCGAGATGTTCAGTTCTCGAACAAGGTAGAGATATGAGGTCATGGCGTCTTGCATGGGCCCCGGGTAAGGGGTTGGATTGTTGCCACCTGCTAGCCGGTACTGCACCCACAGCGACCGGGTACCTGTACCCAGCTTCTCGTTGAGTAGGTCGGCTGTGAAGCCGGAGTCATCGGGCCGGCCAGTTAGCCAGAGGAATGCGCTGCCGTGGAATGATAGGATGACGAGGCTCTTCTCGTCATCTGTTTCTTGCTCTTGATCATCATCCTTGATGTCGATGATTGGTGGCAAGGTCTTAGGTGGAGGAGAGGGATACCATGTCCCGCCGATGGTTTCAGGTTTAATAGTGTCGCTTGTGAAAGCACCGCGATACGAGTCTTCTGGGGCTGGGTTCATGAGGACCCATCGGCTGCCCAGCTTCCCTGACTCTAGGCTCAGGGACTGCGCGTAGCCGAGTTCGCGGATAATGGTCATGGCTAGCTTGGTGAGATGGGTGGTGAATGCTTGGCGATATGTCCATGTTGGACTCTGTCTGAAAGAGGGTATTATGTAGTAGATGCCAAGAAGTAGAGACACTAGTGAGACTCGGATGATTGATATAAGCAGCCAGATGGTCCAGCCTGGTTGGCGAGTCCGCCAACCGTTGGGGATAGCGTCGGCCTCGGCCAGCGTGCGCGCCATTGTCGACGCTTTTTTTTTTTTCTTTCTAGAAGTGTTGTCTGATACTAATCGGTTCGTACCTCGATGGGAGATGACAGAGGTGGCTTGTCTGGTAATATAAGACGGGGCAGCCTCGCTGAGATCACCCGCTCTTGGCAACCCGCGCGGCAATCTGGAACAGGCCTGATTGGCTGCCGTTGCTGCGTGGAGCATGACTTCGATATCATCCAATCGGAGCCCAGCCGAGCAAACTTAGAGGCCTCAGGCAATAACCCCGGTTGGGTTGCACATACTCTTTCTCTATTAGGACTCCCTACATCTCTTTCTGTGTCAACTGGTGTTCTTCTTTTCCATTTTCACATGAATGTAGATGCTCTACCTGTCCAAGTCAGTCTTGTTTACTACCTGAGTATATCCTCGTCTATGGAACAATATTGTCCCAATTATATACTATTCGGCTTATTTACTATTTGTACTGCCAAGTTGACTTGATTTGATAGATGGACGGCCTCTGCTTTCTATGGCTGCAGTGTAAAATCATGGTCATGCCGACCTTTCAGATAGTCATAGTTCTCATCCACCCACTCAACGCACGGTACCAAATGGCCCCAGTCCACCTTCCCTTGTAAGCTCCGAGGTAGTATGACCTTCAAGTCTGAACGGTACCACGCCGGGAAATGAATCGTCACGAGCATAACACGCGGGTCATCTGTGCGGTTCGGCATACCTGCATGCCACAGCCGGAAGTCCCTAATAATGATAGCTCCCTTCGGTAGAGATGGCTGCACTGGGGGAGAAATCTTGCGGCGAGCCTCAACGATCTCCGGGATCACACCCGTGTCGTCACTGTCTCGAGGATCGGCGTCCCGGTGGCTACCAGGCCAGAGCTCGGTGGCGCCATTCTCCGGGGAGGTTGCCACCAGATTTACATTGATACACAGTCCAAACGGGATCTTGGGAAAGTCAAAGTGCACGTCGACATGCACCGGTTGCCGGTCCTCGGCTTTGAAGGCCGTGTTGGCGCTATAGAAACGTAGGTGTGGGTTTGGCCCCAGCATGCATTCGGTGATAGCAGTTGCCCAGGGGTTTGCAATGACATCCTCAAACATGTAGTTCGGGTCGACGACTGGCTCTTGCTGGATATTTCCTGTGCGGGAGCCAAAGTTGCGGTGGGTTTGCGGGTTGGCATATAGAGTCTTGGCCTCAGGGACCATGCGCTCGTTCAGTTTGTCGAGATGGGCAGGGTCAACGCCGTTGGTGATAACACAAACGCCATCTCGATGAAGGCCTTCAAGAGCCGCTTGGAGGTTATGAGAAGAGAGCTTCTTGGTAGCGCGTTCCTCGTCCGAAAGTGTAATTTGAACCAGCTGCGGGGTTACCATGGTGGCGTTTTCAGTTGGGATCGTAGTAAGGAAACAGAGAAAAAGATTGGGAACCAGACTGTAACACTTATTGCACTGCTCCCGAAAGCGAGAGGGGTCACCTATATAGTTTGCGGAGCAAGGATACATTTGGATGAGCGCACTGATAAGCAACTCCTCCCGACTAAAGTGATACGCCTTCCCAGTTTGGAATGGCCGGTGGTGGCGGCAGGTGACCCGACCAATCGCTGGCCTGAGGTTTACCGTCGGCTGCTTGGACCTTCCTCTCTTCCTTCATCCTTCTTCATCCTGATAGTCAGGAGGACTCCAGTTGGCACTTGACTCGTTATCGGCCGTGCTGCTGCTCCTCACAAGTCTTGGACCCTGCAGGTCTGTGAAGTCAAGATATAGCAAACCGATAAACAGAGGCAGGAATCAACTATAAAGTAGGGGCTTGCGTCCAGAAGGTGTGTGATTGACTTTCTAAGCGAAATATTGCCCTTTGCTCCCTTTGTTGTATCATTGAATCTAATCAGTCATGTCTTTAGAGGGAAATAGAAAGAAGTCGGGGGTTCCGGATGAAATCGTCAAACAATTACCTAGTAACGTTGAAGAGACTGGGGCTGAACGAACCATTGATGCAGAAAGATCACTGGCCCACACCAGATTCGAGCACAGTCTCGGGTTCTGGAAGGCGTGCCAGTTCTACCGTCCAGCCCTGCTATGGTCTTGCTTCGTCAACCTAGCAGTCATTCTGTGTGGCTTTGACGGCGCCTTGATTGGAAGTCTGGTGGGGCTGACCCCGTTTGTTCGCACATATGGCAGATTGGTGGACGGGCAATATGCGGTTGCTCCCTCTTGGCTGTCTGCCTTCAATTATGCATCATACGTGGGCAGTGTGCCTGGCTCGCTGGTGGCAGGCATTGCCTACGACAAATATGGCCCGCGCATGACCCTCGCTGCAGCTTCAATCGGCTCGATTGGGTCCATCTTCTTTCAATTTTTCAGCGAAGGCCCAGCTCTTCTCTTCGTTGGCGAGCTATTTAACGGATTTATTACAGGTGTCTATCCTGTCCTCGCCAATGCCTATGTTAGTGAAGTTGCTCCTGTTGCTGCTCGCGGTGTCCTCGCTGCCGTCATAAACCTATCCTATGTCATTGGTCAACTAGTGGCGTCGGGACTACTCAAGGGGACCAGCACGATGGATAGCAAGTGGGCTTATAAGATCCCGTTCGCTTCACAATGGGCTCTGCCTGTCTTCATTCTTTCGCTCATATACTTCTGTCCGACTCCTCCTTACTGGCTCTGCAAGAAGGGTCGAGCAGAGCAAGCGCGGAAATCTATCCAGCGTTTGACGACATCCGAAGTTGACGTGGACGCCTATCTCGCTCATATCCAAGAGACTCTCCGCTTAGAAGAGAGCTCCAGGACCAAGGCTAGCATTCTCGACTGCTTTCGCGGTACAAATTTACGGCGCACTATTATCTCCTGTCAGGCTTTCAACATTCAAGCCCTCTGTGGTAATATCCTGTTCATAAACTATGCCGTTTACTTTTTCGAGACTGCTGGTCTAGATACGTCGGACGCTTTCTCAATGAATTTGGGGCTGACTTGCATGGGCTTCGTTGGGACATTGGCCTCCTACATTCTCATCTCATACGCCGGTCGGCGCACCATCTATCTGTGGGGCTCTACCGCGATCGCCTTGCTACTACTTCTCGTCGGGATTCTGGCTGTCGTGCCCCAGCACAATTCAGGGCCTGCATGGGCCATGTCCGCCCTCATGGTGATATGCAACCTCGTCTATGACATGTCGGTGGGACCACTGTGCTTCACCGTCATGTCCGAGGTGTCTGCCGTTAACCTGAGAGGTGTCACTATAGCCCTGTCCAATGTCACTGTGGTGATATGGTCTGTGATATTTGCTGTCGCCATTCCCTATGCAATGGGCACTACTGGTGCCAACTGGGGCGGCAAGCTGGGATTCCTATTTGCTGGCATCGGGGTTTTGGATACACTCTGGTGCTACTTCTTCCTGCCAGAGACTAAATGTCGAACGTTTGAGGAGCTGGATTTCATGTTCCAGCAGAAGCTACCGACGCGTCAGTTTAGCAAGTACCAGTTTACAGAGACACAGCAAGTAACACCAGAGGCTTAGCTTGCTGTCCAATAGAAGCTAAGAAGATACAATCAGAAGGCAAGCCTTCGAGATATGTGGATATTGGGATCTAGTGAGCAGGTGGAAAGGCTATTTAACTTTTGGCTCAATGGCTAACTGGCCATCTTTAGTGAAGGGCTTATAGTTGAGTTAATTCTTCTAGCTTTTTTTTTTTTTTTTTTTTTCTCAATGACACTGGTCTAATTATTTCCTCGAACTCGTCGACTTCAGGTAATGAAGCAGCAGCTATCTTGATCCAAGTGCTGCACAGGTGCCTCGTATGCCGCGCGCTTACGAATGAACTTCATACTCCTGCTTCATTTTGAGGTTTCCACTTCACCCAACTGAGTAGCATATCGTGTAGAGAATGAGAGCTCCTGAACAGCGAGAGCACGGGAGCTTGTCTGACCATCAACAGTTAGGATGTGAGATAGGACCACCACTGGCTATCAACCAAGTCTAGTTGTAGATGAATAATAAACACCTGACCCTTGCTATTACTAGGAGTCGAACTGAGGCTCCTATCTTGTAGAAAAGTGCGGAGAATGAACTTTAAGAGAGTATTGGTAGCCGGTGACCAGTCGTCTAGACATTCAGTACTCGATGATGACTGTTTATAGAAATTAGTGTGACCTTAGTATGCGTCCATCTGTGTGCTTTGGGTGTGCTTGGCTTGTAAATGAGCAACCTGCTTCTTCCATTGACAAGGAAGGTGAGTGATTACTATAGTAACTGTTGTCTTGTTCTATGAGATGGAGCTATTGGGAGTGTCAGTGCAAACTCTGGCTTATTTGGCGCTAACTTTCTCGCTCATTCAACAAGCGGGTCCCATAGCTCAGTTGGTTAGAGCGTGACGCTAATAACGTCAAAGTCGAGGGTTCGAGCCCCTCTGGGACCATGTCTTTTTGCATTTTTTTTTTCCATTCTCATTCTTGAATGGGTTGCACGGCAGAGTGATGTGCTCCCATGGAGTCAGCAGAAATATTCGCTGCCACCTGCGGTTTGCGTGGATGAGACGGCGAAATACTCACTCCTATTGATTAGGTACATCTACAAAAGGGGCCGAACACTCATCACCTCGATCCTACTCTAGCCCTGGGGTGGAATACCGAGGCCTAATATTTCATTTCCTTATACCGGCCGTCTAACTGGGCTGGCTGCTCGATCTGGTAGGTCATGCAATTGACGGAAATTTACATGGTCGGGTTGCAGCATCGTAGAACTATTTATGCCACCATCCATCCCGTTTTGAATAAAGTCCAGTCTCAAGTCGCCAACCACATGAGTTTCATCCACAACCGACCGGGGAGCTAGATACATGCAACACTCACTGTCCTGATATCCTCGTGCTGAGTAGAATTACTAAAAAATATATATATATATATATATGCCTTGACGGCGCATAAGGACCGAATGATATCCGTTGTGGGCATAACTCGTAATTACCGTCGACTCGATGTAGACTTATCAGGACACACTAGTAGTAATTGGTATGGTCCGGTTTCCCAGAACGCATGTACGCCAGAAAGGTCAAACCAATATTTAATTATACTCCATGGGCGCGTCGACTGATTGAAAGAAATAGATAGTGAGTGTGTGGTAGGTAAAAGAGCAAAAAAAGATGGTCCCAGAGGGGCTCGAACCCTCGACTTTGACGTTATTAGCGTCACGCTCTAACCAACTGAGCTATGGGACCCGCTTGTTGAAAAGGGCTGTTCAAAATGGCTATATAATACAAACACAAAGTAGGTCACTGTTCTTGGCTCTTCGATGGTGTCAATAGCACGTCCAAATTGTATAAAATATAATGAGCACGCTGGCTCCAGCATCTCACTTCTGGGGATCTGGAACTTTGAGCTTTTTTTCTTATATCAAATACATCTTATAGTAGGACTAGCCCTAGTCTGGTTTACCTATTGAGTTAGCAAATACCAGTACTTCTACTAGTTCACACAGAATTGAGATCGGTCCATCCTAACATGAATATATATATATTCAGTTTCGCCAAGTTCAAAACAACGCCATCTGCCAGTAGTTCCCGTTTCTCTAGTAATAATACCATAGCATTAAGACTAGTATCACTACCACTGTACTAGTTCGTTATCCTACTATGGAAATTGAACCACTATCTCGTTCAGTACGAGTGATAGTATTACTACACGGCATGAGTAGAAAAGTACTACTTATAAATGTATCCTTGATCACCATTCCTCCCCGGACGATTCTTATTTCACTTCTAAATGTTTTATCTACAGCAGTATCCACGAAATATCCGCCTTCCCATTTCCCTCTTCCTCTCCTTCCCTTAGCGTCACATCCAGCGACTTACAATGTAACATTGAAATCATTGATATTAGTACTACCAGTATTTATAGTATATATACTACCTCAATAGACTAATTTCCAAAAGGTTAGTATATCTTGTGGATTTGGTAAATTTTATTCACCTCTTTATATTTTCCCTCCCCCCCCAAGTACCTTTGTCAACCCAAGAATAATATCAGTTCCATCAAATCCTGTGAACGAATCCTTGCCTACTACTTACAGAAAGATCCCCAGCACAGTCACCTCCTCTACCATAGGCTTCGGGTCCAATGCGTGAGATACAAGAAGAGTCAGTTTCGACCTACCGCATTGACTCTCCACCCCCAAGTCATACTTCTTCTCCCACTTCATCACCCCTTCCATCCTCTCCCCTACATCCTCGACACGGCATCATTCAACATCAATCAGACCACACCAGGCCCCTCCACCCCCGTCCCTTCCGTGTCATAATTATCGGCGGCTCAATAGCGGGCCTCACTCTCGCGAATTGCCTCGCCGCTGCCGGAATCGAGTATCTGGTTCTCGAAAAGCATCAGTCGATAAATGCGCCCCTCGGCGGACTTATTGGCATAGCTCCTACGGGAGCGCGTATCCTCGACCAGCTGGGTATATATGATGCTGTGAAGGATATTGGGCAGGAAATCACAGTGCTCCGAACGGGGTTTCCAGATGGTAGTGGCTTCAATCAGACATGGGTCGCGGAGTTTGAGAAAAGGTGAGTGGAACCCTATCCCGGTGTTCCCTTAGGGGAACCGAGAAGGGCTTCAGATTTAGTATCCACTTTAGTGGATCGAATGCTAAGTTACAATGCAGATATGGGTATGGCATTAGTGTTACATCTCGCCAGCAGTTACTTGAGGTTCTCTATACTGCACTCGGCCCAAGCGCGTCAGAAACGGTGCATCTTGGGAAGGAGGTAACGAACATTCATCACGAGGGCTCCGGCGTCAAAGTACTTACCCGTGACGGGATGACTTACTTCGGAGACTTGGTGGCCGGTGCAGACGGTGTGCATAGTATCGCGCGCTCAGAAATGCTGAGGATGGCTGGTGGAAGTGCCTCGAACGAGGAGTCTGGTATGCTTAACCCAGTCAGTAGTCTGACAGGAGCGAAGGCTGACGTTACCTCCCTTGAAATCGATATTTAGAGTTATCAGCCGAATACCGTATCCACGTTGGCCTGTCCTGTCCAGTTCCCACTATCACCCCGGGCGAGCAAATTGTTCGTTGCTACGATGGCTTCGCTGTTTTTGCGCTCTGTGGAAAGGATGGGATCTTGGGCTGGTTCATCACAGAGAAACTGGACCGAAGGTACCAGTACCCTAATAGACCTAATCATACCCAAAATGATGCTATAAAGTTCTGCGAGAGTCTGGCAGATGTGCCGGTGTGGGGAGACGTAACTTTTGGGGCAATATGGAAGGCTCGTACCTCAATCTCCCATGCGCTTGTGGAGGAGAATGTCTTCAAGACGTGGAATTATGGGAGAATAGTCTGTATAGGGGATAGTGTGATCAAGGTGACCTTTTTCTCTATATAGTGTACATTCGAGAGTTATAACGTTGACCCCAGGAATATAGACGAGCCCGAACTCCGGCCTAGGGGCAAGTCTAGCCATGGAAGGCGCCGCTGCACTCGCAAACAATCTTCGCCGACTGATATCGTCCAGCGAAAGCAGGCCCTCATTGCAACAGATCCAAACGGCATTCCGCAAGCAGCACCGTGATCATCGGATTCGGATGCGTGTTATTGAATTCGCTTCGCATAAGACCATCAGGCTTCATTGTCGGGATGGATGGTACAATTCGCTGATGGGCCGGGTTTCTTTGCGATCTAGTCAACTTGCAGTATTTGGAATGAACAGGTTCGTGAATAGTGGGGTGAAGTTAGAATTCTTGCCTGTACCTCAACGGGGTGTCGTTCGATGAAATGAGGGGATATAACGAGAATGATTTCCGGTTGTTGATGGCCATAGTCGTCGCGTTTCTCATTATAGTGCTAGTGTAGACTACATGGTTTGTGTACAGAAGATACCAAATCTATGAGGCTAGCAGATAATGCATAGATGGTTTCTTGCAAAATAGACGGGTGGTGTAAAACCATATGACATCGCACTTCTTTTCAATACCAGCAATTTCATTTGGGATGATTGAGTTTAAAAACTGAAGACCGAAGTAATTTCATATAATGATGTAGTAAGTTAAATACGATATAGATATCATACTAGGTATTATAGTACTATGCATAAGACAAGTCTGGGAATAGGAAGTCTTGAAGAGGTCAATACACCTTCCGTCAGGGCAGAGCTATCATTTGGCCTGAGCCTACATGTATTTCCACCAGACCACCGAATCAGAGGGAAGACTAAGAAGGCTTCCTTACAGCTTGGTAACAAATAATGAGACAGATGAATTGGAGGTGTCTTGAGTCTTCGCCTAGGAAGGAATTCAATAACACCATTAGACCCTCAACCCTGACCAGCTCCACCAATAAGCTCTACAAATTAGGCAAGAGTTAGTAATAAAAAAAAGGCCATGAACTCTGGCTTCGTCTTCAAATTTCGCGAAAATGTTGCACATGAATCATCACCGGCCAAGAGATGACTCCGTCAATGGACTGAGATGTGAAGCGTCCGGAGGCATGACTCGAAGAATTGCAAGTTGTCGCCAACTACATAGTATGTATCACGACACCCAGTTACTTGTGTTGTGTATCTCATCAGAGAGTAACATGCCGCAATGCGACTAGCCCATTCCAATCCTTCCGCAATTGGTTATTAGTCAAAAGTCAAATCTGAGACATCCATGAAAACGACTACTGTGAGTTGTGATAGCCCGAAGCCATCGTCGATGAAATGCCATTGCAAAATATATGTCTTAAGTGAACCACGGAACATGCCAGGACCCGCTGAATGGCTTGTTCTGAGTGTGCAGTGCGGATAGGAACTCTCTCCCCATGTCATCAGTTACCAGTATATTTTATAGTATTGAAGTGTGAAGGGGTATGCGTGAGACTTGATCATGTAGCACCATTTCACCAAGGTATCATATAAGAAAAACCCTAGGCGACTAAGCTCAGAAAGACAGCCACAGTATCATCCACGTACGCCCACCGGCTTTGCCCACTCAGGATCTAATCCGGAAGTATTCGATGCGAGTCATGAACTCCACGGTTACATGTGCAAGAAATACAACTCAGGTGAAGTGGTGCTTGTCCATTCAGTATGTGAAGACTGGATCATTCATTCCTCCTTTCTACCCGGATCGTATACTAGCGCCTAGTACCTGACTCATGTAGCGGATAACACGGTAGCATAGGAACATTATATCCATATAAACGGAAGGCAAATGACTCCAAATCCCGATCAAACACCGCCGGTGGGCAGTATCAATATCTGCACATGATTCGAGCTTCAGACGCCACTTATTGTAGAGAATCTATGAGTAACCCATGCCAAGATTGAGTTAATCCTCCTTCACACTCAGCCTTTCCAACAAAAGTCGTAGCATTGGATTGGCCTCGTTGGTGACCTTCTCAATCCGGTCGATTTCACCATTGATCAATCCTTCCAGTTGCATCAGGTAATCCCGACACTGCTCAAAAGTTCCACTGGTTTCGAGATATTCGACAATATATTGCTTGATCTCGAGAGCCAGCGGTTGCATTCCACCAGTAGTAATGGCAGTAGGCCGCTGCCGGAAGACGCCCTCAATGAGGTCCCCAAAGTCCGCATGATTCACAACGCAAAGGACAATTGGATAAGAAAATTTGCCTTCGTCAAGGTCTTCACAGAATCCTTTCTGCTCGGTGTATAGGCCGGAGCGAAGGTTCATGTAATCATCACGAATCTGAAAGAACCGCCCAAACAGGACAGTAAGGCCGTCCAGGTTAACCTCGACTGCCGTGCCCTGCCTTTCGGCCTGCATGAGTCTCAATAGAAGACGAAACATGGCCCCGGTTTTGTTGTCGACCATATTCAGGTATTCAGAGGGTGACGGGCATTTGGACTTATATTTCCAGTTCAAATCCCAACTTTGTCCCAAATACAGGTTCTCTAGTTCCTCGAGTAGGATCTCAACAGCGTTCGGGTTGCGGAACTGGCGGGCAAGCTGGACGGCTTGAACGAACATGAAATTAGCGCTGTTGATCGCTTGCGAGTGACCGAATATTGTGTGTGTGGCGGGCTTTCCTCGTCGCTTGGGGGAGTTGTCTTCAATGTCGTCTAGAATCAGAGACGCATTATGCAGGAGATCGACCAGCTCCCCAATTTTGGCCAAGGCTACCTCATCCACCTCAAGCCAGTAGTTCAATGCTTCGATCATTCGGGTTCGGACCCCCTTTGAGGGCATGGAACAGATATACTGTACTGGTGCTTGAAGGGCTGTGTCGGCGGGCTTGTACCACAGTCCTTCAGCCTCCTGGGTTCCTTTGCTGCAAACCTATACAACGCTTTGTCAGGCCTCGCCCTGGTAGACTGTCTAGGAAGAAAAGTTTAGAGCATACTTCAAAGGATAACACCCCTTTTGTCGCCTCATCAGATCGGATTAGCTTGGTTCTCTTCTGGTCTCCGCCACCGAATAGGCTCTCGCACTGTCTGACTACCGCCGAGAGAAGTGCCAATAAAGCTCGCATGAATTGCTCCATATCATGATTGTCTAATGCAAATTGGTAATTCAGCTTCATGAACTCATCCTGTGCATTGATTTCTGGATTCGATTGGGTTGGTGTTAGCTTTGAATCTTCAGATGAACGACTGCCGAAGCTGGACTTCCACGCATGGTGACGGGGAGCGCAACTGGCCCAGTAGTGAGTGCCAGCCACGGTACTCCCTACCACCTCAATCCACTTCCTCACGTGGAAGGGAAGAGATGGATTTTGCGCATAAATCAGGCTTTTTCCTTCAAGATATTGCTGTTCCAGATCGACGATAAGCTGGCGAACCTTCGCTTTCGCCTCATCGATAGAGCTGTTCTCAGTCCGACGAACCACTTCCACCACGTTAGTGAGCCGAGTTCCGCTGTTTATAGACTCATGGTACTCCCGATCGAAGCTCCAGTAATCATTGGTCCAGATGATTGCTTTGTCAATAGGTTCCATAACGGGCTCGATGAGTTTCTTATCGTCATCCGACAGACGCATGGCCATGCCAAATTCCACCATCGGCCAGAATGCCCTGAGGTAATCAGAAACGAGATTGCTTCAAAGTTGAACAAAAAAAAGGGTGAGAGTGAGTTATACCTGATGCCGAAATCATCCCTCCTGTAGGCTTGGTATTCCTCCAAGGATTTAAACTCAGGCGCTTTGCCCTCTTTACCCCCTGCAGCGGACAGCCACCCTTTATTATACATGTCGAACATGTACATACCCAAGTCACGGTCAATGCGGATCGCCTCCAGTAAGATTTGTGACACCAGCTTCTTCAACTTCGGAGCACGGGTGCTTCGACATGACGACAGTGGCTGCCCATTGGGGTCAAAGAGAGCACCAAAGTCACGATGTTCTGCCCTGGCTTGATCCATATCCATTGCCTCGTACCCATCTAACTCCCGGGTTAGCTTATATCGATGGGAACAGCTGAATGTGGTGATCACTAACCATCATGGAGCATTCCTAAGTCCGTCAAGTAGGTCAAAATTGCCAGTCTCTCGGGAGGCACCTCGGGATAAGCAAAAGCGCCTAGATTCCCCAGCTCACTGGTGGATATCAGTGCTTTCTCAGCCAGGCCGTCATGCAGAGCATGGTCCCAGTCCTGAAGAGCTCTTCTGGTGGCTGAATTTGCGACATCGTTTCGCTCGTTCCTGCGGATTGGTAGAGTGGTGAATGATGGTGTCTTCTTGATGGCCTCCACATCTATGGATCGGGAATGTTTCCAGCACTCCATATTGTATAAAAAATGTAGATCGAGTAGCTTCCTGTGCTGCTTCTTAGCGAAGATTGAAATGATAGCTGGAATCTCAGCAGATTAATACACAGTATAAGACTATGGAGCTACTTTTCTGGGTTGCCAGATCTCAGCGTTACACAAATCTTTTTGAAGTGGACCAATCCCTGGATGATAGCCCCTAATCCTTCTCATTACCTTGTTTAACGCGATAAAGGTTTCAATTCTAGATGAATACCCAATGCGTCATCAATCTCGAGTCATGTACCTTGGCTTACTTGCTACCTTTTCCCGGACGGGTTGCACATCGGTGTAGTACCTGCGGAGATCGTTCCTGAAAAAAAAAAAAATAAATAAATAAATATAGTATAGTTACTAGTAGACTGGACGCCAAATCTAACTCACGCCATAATTGTACCCAACAAGTGAATAGAACGGTACTCAGGTGCAAGTGTTAGAGCTGGAGTGGCTGTCAAGCGTTGTGGCCCTGATCTACTGCTCAGCCCCACCCAAACGCCTCATCCAGCGTAGAGTTGACATCATGACAAGAGGCCTTCAATGAATGCCAAAGCCTTCAATGTAACATGCCATGATCTATAGAGAGAAGATTGCACTTTTCCCAGGATACTGGCCGTTTTCATTCCCAGCTAGTTTTGCTAGGAAGGATGAAAGACACTTGAAAACCTACGAGAGACCAGCGATCTAGTATTGCATCCCATTTTAACTGGACAAGAAGATTATCAACGCACAGCACCTCTCTTGACTATGTCTGGAGCCAGTCTTGAACAAGTTGCCATAATGGCATGCTCATTGGTATGAGACAGACCCTTTTATGATAAACTTTCTCATAATAACGAACCAATGTCTGGTGTAGGGCACAGGAGCATTGATATTGATGGCCATCTATAACTACTTTTTTCACCCCTTGGCGCGAGTTCCCGGACCTTGGACTGGGGCAATTTTTCCGGTAAGCCAAACTCCCAACATTTGCAGGGTCTACCTGGATCTGAGGGATATACACTTCCATTATATTTTCATAGTTCTGGTCGATGAGAACCTTGTATCTTCGGAGATTGAACCCAGATATGGCAGAGCTACATAGAAAATATGGTCAGATACAGAAACTCCCCCACCCCCAAATTTATGGCTATATAGCAAGCCCTGGTGACGCATCAGAGGAACTGACGGATATACAGGCCCGGTTATTAGAGTTGGCCCCAACCAACTGTCATTCACAACTGTTGCAGCCCACAAGATGATATACACTTCCAAACCAATCCACAACGGCTCTAATAATCTATTTGAAAGAGAAGGAACACTAGAGGACGTACTGCTATCACTCCTACTAGAAGCACCCCATATCGGCTCACTCTCGAATCAGGAGGAGCACAAAAAGATGCGAAGACGCCTACAGCCCGGTTTTACATCAAACGCACTCTTTGAACAGGAAGCCCTGCTGCGCATGCATGTGGAACGCCTCATGCTTACGTTCGCGCGAAATCCCGGCGTGAGCAATTTGACTGAAGCTTTTGCCAAGTTTCTCTGGGCGTTTGTTAGTGACCTTTCATTCGGCGAACCTCTGAATCCTGAGAAGAAAGGTAAATTAGCCCTCGATTGCTTATCATTATTCCAACTGTGCCGCATTTTTTACAAATTCTGTGATGCTAAAGCCAGATCTGCACATAGATACGCTGCAATCGATGGTTGAACTGTACCACAGTTGCTTTCCCCTGCTGGAAGCTATCAATTATGTCTTACCACAATTCCAACAAGTGTTTAGGCTGATTTTCCACATGATACCGTCAGCTAATCTGCGCGCGGTATTGCCCAGCGTCACACTTAGAGAGTATGAATCCATTCTGCTGTTCATTTCGTCACTGTTCTCCATAAGCTGGTCTTTGTGGTCATAATTTCCTGTTCTGCTTTTTCTCGTCCAGACACCACTGACTCGCTTGTCTTTCTTTTCTAGTTGCATTAACCGACAGGATGGCCGATCCGATCTCATCACGCATATTATGGGCCATAAGTGCCGCAATCCTACCGAACTGGAGTTGAGGCATGGCGAACTGCATCGTGACGCCACTTTCATTATGTGAGTCGTAGCCACCACATTGGAGGTTTTCAACAACATGGAAAGCGTAGCGGTGTGCACAGTGACTGAACCCCTTTGTGCCTGTAGGCTCGCCGCCTACAAGTTGACCGAGACAACTCTATCGGCATTATTCAACCGACTTCTCTCAACTCCAGGAGTGCTCCGGAGACTCAAAAGCGAGCTCTACCGCAACTTCCATACTATTGATGAGATCACGGGGAAGAAACTGCTGTCACTGCCATATTTAGATGGATGTGTTTACGAGACACTTCGGCTAACCCCCGCAGTGGCGGGCAAGGTACTGTCCCGTCGTTCCCCCGGAGTGATGATGGAAGGCATCTACGTCCCAGCTGGAACAGAAGTATATACGGATACGTACACCATGCAGCGAAGCCCCCAGTACTGGCATGCCCCAGATGAGTTCCGTCCAGAGCGTTGGTTCGAACGTAGTGAGGGCAGTCCGTATGCTCGGGACGTGCATGAGGCCTTCAAGCCGTTCAGTTCGGGCCCGAGGGCTTGCTTGGGGAAGGGACTGGCCCTTCAGATTCTTCGATTGACTGCGGCTTTGATTGTGTATCGCTTTGAACTGAGCATGGCCGATGCGGATGGGTTTGTGTGGGAGGAGGATATTGAGTCGAGCATTTCGTACTCGAAATATCAGGTTAAAGCTACTGTGCAGGAGCGTGGCTGACTTTGGGGTAACTCCGATGGCTTGAGGTGCCAATAACTGTAGCGGTTTGGGAAATATGGGACTCGATGGTCTTCATTACGCTTTAATGTCTGCATGAATCTGTGCAATGAGATATTCTAGTTGGTCGTAACAACCTACAGTACTTGCAGTGATGCACGGTAGGAAGTCTCTGTCTCTGTAATGTTCAATCTATAGTATACAGGAATGATTTGTCGGATTAGACGTTATATGGTGGTTATGTCCATACTGGTCTAGGCCTATCAGGCTTGTACATCAACCAATATCTTACAATGTGAGTCCCGATCATTCACAAGGGCCTGGAAACCTTTCTCCACGACTTCATCAAGCTTGATCTTCGAGGTAACCATCCTCTCGGGTTTCAGTTGCCCTAGAACATTATTAGAAAAGTCAACTTGAGCAAGTAAGAGACGCGACTCACCATAGCTAAGTGCTCGAATGACTTCCCGGAACGCACTCTCATCGTACAGTGCTGATCCCGTATAGTTGACTTCGCTATACATCAACTCGTTGACTCGGATGGCTGGTCGCTTCTCCCACACCGCAATGTTTACTATCGTCCCATGTGTTCGACATGCTGCAATAGCACCGTTCAAAGCCACCTCCACACCAGCCGTATCGAAAACAACATCCGCTCCCACGCCGTCGGTCAACTCGCGTACTTTTGCGGCGACGTCTACCTCTCGCGGATCCAGGATATGTGTTGCACCGTAATAAGAAGCGAACCGCTTCCTATTCTCTGTCAACTCCGCAACCATGATGTTCTTCGCCCCCTGTAGTTCAAGCACCTGGATGATCCCAATACCGACAGGTCCGCCCCCGAGCACCAAGACGTTATCATTTGGCTTGAATGGAGATATGTTCACGGCGTGCCAGGCTACTGCCAACGGTTCGACCAGTGCTGCTGCTTCGAGGGATACATTGTCGGGAATTGTATAGAAATGTTCTGCGGGTGCTACGATGTATTTCGCTAATCCACCACCGTAGCCTACCAAATTGATTAGTATATAGGTCTGCATGTACACCGTATGTTGTAGGGATATGTACGTACCCGATAGCCCGATGAAACCGATCTTCTCGCAACAGTGTTCATAGCCCTGCTTGCATGGCGTGCATTCTCGATCGAAAATGGTCGGTCGCACAACCGCTCGTTGTCCCGGAGAGATATGGGTCACGTCTTCTCCGACTTCTTCGACGATTCCGCTGAACTCGTGACCGAGTGTTACTGGCAGGCTGGTTCCTGTGATTGCGTGTGGCTTTTCTGGAACTAGAACAGGGCCTCCGGAGTATTCGTGGATATCTTTTGAGAGTAAGTCTGGGGGTCTTCGACACAGAAATCGATCGCGAACTTACCACTGCCACAGATCCCAACGAATGATGGTCGCATCTATGAGTAGATCTGTCAGCGCATGCATTGTAATTGTTATGTGCGTGAAGCACACCTTCACCTGCCCTTTGCCGCATGTGGGTTCTTCAATTTCCTCAACCCTGATGTCGCCGCGACCGTGGAAGCGCGCTGCCTTCATGACAGGCGTGGTTTTAAGGGTTGTTCGATAAGTGTTGACAGAGTCGGTTGCAGTGTTCAACATTTTTGCGGACGAATTCTGGTGTCCTCGACAATGGTGAAATCTGTATATTCTGTAGTCATTCGATAGAAATATGATTACTAGCAGTGTATAGCCTGGGGGGATCCAAAGCTTCAATTATCCTATATATGAGAGCTAAATGGTATAAAGTAGATAAGGGCGAACAGTATCCTAGACGTTTTTATGACGTTGATCATGATCACCCGAGATCATAGATCTATCGTACTATAAGCTGCTCGTTTGAATTAGGTTTGACAGATCATGATGTATGGAGTGACCGTCGAGTTTGATTGGTTCATTTGCATCTCGTTCCTTTGACAACCATTACAACATCCATGATGTTGCATTCTCCTGCGTGACGCCATGCTATTGGCCTGCGTATAAAAATAGTGCTCCAGCTAGCAATTTGTGATTTGCTGGAATTGAGTGGCGCTAATTCAGGTTCAAGTATCTGCTGAGAAGTGGCTCAACTGCAAGCGGCCAAGAATCAGAAGGGCGTGGCTTGAGATGGCGTCTGGGGAGTGAAGCTCGATTCTTCACTTTGTGGGGTGCTAGGCAGTGGCGTCATATATCCGGCAATCCGACACATGACACCGAGTAATATCCAGTCCCGCAGCTGTCACACGAAACGGGGCAACCAGGTCGTTTTATCATTGGTGTCCAGCACTTGTCAGTCTAAAGCGATCAGCAGCACTGAGCACAGGCTTCTAGAATAAAGGTAGCGGCAATTTTGAATGGTAGCGATGGGCAGCCGCCTTATCTGCTCCCGCTGCCACACTTTAGTCGCAAAGCTGCGTGAAGCTGCGTAAGGCTCAAACGCGGGGATTTATCCCGACCAGTTAAGCTTCTTCTTCTTCACGCTGTTGCTCAACAAATGCTCGCAAAATAGACTCCAGTCCTTCGTTACGGCGTGCAAGAAGCATCACATCTGCGACATTGACTGTTGAGCGCCCGGCATGCCTAAATAGGAAATGCCGAGTGTTAGCCCGGAACCAAGGTCAAGCATATCCTTATCCAAATCGCCCCTGGAAGGTCACGATCACATCAAAACAAGGTAACCAGGCCCTGCTAATTGGGACTTTAGGCTTAGGGATCTGGCTTACTTAGCAAATGACTCCAGATCCTGGCTGACCGTCTCTGCTCATCATCCTTAGTCAGCTACAGGTTACAGTGATCGATACATGACGAAAGCCACCATGCAATGAGTGAACGGCACAAAGAATCGTCTGCGAATTGGTGGTGTACGTATTGAACCTACCGATTTGGGCCCAGACCATTTCAGTCAAAGCTCCGATAAACTGAGGGGTGGCGTTGACACCAAGCTTGATGGTCTCTTCATCCACGATCTTTCCAATCGATAACCAGAGAGCAGATTTCAAGCGCTGCAAGACGATTTGTTACTGTGTGCCATATATGCTATGGATGATGTATACTACTTACCTCTTCAAGATTAACTTCTTCGTTCTGCTCCATTGTCTATCGAGGCTATCGGAAAAGCAAGAAGCTTGATATATGGCAAAATTGATAGACGTTGCGAAACAGGCTTTTGTCCGTGGCGATAGGATGGGATCTATCGTTGATCGATCCAGCAGTCTTCGACGCGCGATGCTCGTGTCCCAGAAGACGCGTTGAGCGTACATACAAATCGAGATCAGTCGTGATTGGCTTCTCAACCCCTCCCGGAGAATCCATAACTCCGAACGCGGAATGACGCTAGACCCGAACGACCCATTTCCACATTCGGAATTCTTCTCTACTGTCCATTAAGTTCCACGCCTGTTCACCGAACCAGGGACTTCTCCTTACTCTTATCGCGTCAGTCTGTCAGGTAAAATAATTGCCCTGCAATCAATTCACCAGCTCCAATCCGCGAGTTGCCTCCTGGGCCCCCAAAACCCCACGACCAAGCTTCCCAACAAAACGTCCACTATCTTCCGGCCAAAGCCGGCGACTTCCCCTCTACGCAACCCAGCAACATTCGGACACACGGTCACTTCAGACCTGAAAACAAAACATATCATCCAAAATGGCAACCCGCGATCCCGGCGAAGTTGCCGCTGACGCTCTCAACGACTTTTTCGGTCAACTCTACAGCTTCTTTGAGACCATCTTTACCCGATTCTTCGGAAACCTCTATGCCTCCTTCGCCGATGTGAGCATCAACCGCTGGACGAAGGTCATTCTGTCTGTGATCGGCTACCTTCTCATCCGGCCATACATCGAGCGTTTCTTCAAGTTCATGCACGACCGAGACCGCAAGAAGCAGTTGGAGAAGGAAAAGGCCAAGAAGGATGGAAAGAAGGCGAAGATGTCAGCTAATGAGCTTCGTGGCGGCGCCGGAGCTGGTCGAGTCCTCGGAGAAGTGGAGAACACGGACGATGAGATTGAAGATGGAGAGGACTTCGCGACGGCGAGCGGCGTCCCTGAGTGGGGAAAGAACGCTCGGAAGAGGCAGAAGAAGTACATGAAGAACCTGGAGAAGGAGGCTGAGAGCCGGACACACAATCTCTCTGAGGAACAGCTTATGGAGCTACTGGATTGGAGTGAGTCGGAGGATGACAAGGCCGCTGGTAAGAAGGAGTAGGTCGTGTCTTTTGACCATATTCTTTTCTCTCCCTTGTATTCGATAATATGATTTTGGATGGGAAACATACTTTGGAGATTGTGGTCTTTCTGATGATGTACCATAAAGACGGGTGGTGTTATAATATATGTAATAAGATAAAGCATGAAGGTGGCCTTTCTGCGCTGCCTCTTAATTTATGACGCAGATAATCTTGTTCCTTAATAACTGTACAATTGTAGTCGGCTACGATAGAGTCAATATTATCTTTCTGGACTGGTCGAAATGTGTGACTTTGCCAAATGATCCAGTGACAGACGAAAGCGAGTGTAGCTAGCATCAGGCTCCCCATCAGCGTCTTGGCCCACAACCCGAACACAATGGTTATACCGAAAAATAAGTGCATAATCAACTTCTGACAATCCCGTTCGGACAGATAATCATGGGAAATACCTTTGTAACGCCGGTAGGGAGCGTCGATCAATGGGGTATTGATGTTAGAAGAAGCTGCTCTCGGCACACGCATGATAAACACCTGCCGATACAGCATCCGGTACGGTATCCGATACTGCTACCGATACACCTCCGATACAGTCGAATAACACCCCGTGGGGTGAGATTCCTCCTTTAGCTTCAATATGAGGGGAACCTTCGGAACATGAGAGTAGGTAATGAAGCAAGCCAAAGCCTAGCAAGGTGATCATACATTATTGATAAGAAATTGGGAAACAAAGTTCGTAAAGCGAGGGTATTCTCTATGCCGTGACGTCGACGAATATCCTGAGTACGATGCTTCAAGCCATTGTTACTTAGCCGAGCGATAACCTTACTATGTATTAATCTCACTCTATTCCAATTGTTCCAGAGAATGTGTGAAGTAACTACAAACACAATGCTCTGAGGGACTCACCAATCTCTTCTAGGGAGGACAAATGTTGAGAGAGGCGGTTCCTCTTCGCAACGGGCAGCGGTCACGTTCCCCCGTCTGGGGGCGGTACGCCCCGCTTATCTGGGGTATTCAGCGGGACATACTAGAACAAATTCGTCCGACTCGCTTGCAAGTCACAACACTCTGCATCTTCTGCCTGTATACAACAAATACACGTTAGCTTAGACCAGTGATTTATACCTGTCCTCCATAGGTTTTGCCAATAGGGCACGCAGCGCTTCTATTTGCTTGCTCAAATACAGCATGGTACGTACATACCTGCTTCTACACCAAGTGGCAGCGTCGGTCATCTAACTCATGATTAGTCGCAGCAATACAGAAAAAGAAGAAAGATCGCGCTCGCCTGTTTACCATGCCGTGCGCGAAAAATCCGCTGCGATGGTATTGAGCCCAGCTGTGGCCCATGTAAACGACGAGAGACCTCGTGCTCTTATCCCGTGGAAAGTGCCAGAAAAGCTCAAGACAACCAGTAAGACCCTGCTGTGGATAGTGGACGAAGCCTCGGGCCAACTGTACCTGTCATTTTCAGGTATATACACCGGTTGCACACCGTTGATCGAGCTGCGTCTGCCAGAGCCACCCACATTCCTGCGTCTGGAAGCCCACTTGCTTCAGTAGAACCCAGAATTGGACAGAGTACACCAGGTGGTGTCGGTCACCAAAGCGATCTGAATAACGATACCGCTGACTCTCGGAGCATGCCTTTGCGAGCACACACAGAGGGTGGTCCCATTGCTTTCCCTCAAAATGCCCTCATGAGCAATGACGGACACAGTGCCTCTAATCTTAGAACAAGGCAAGCCTCGGGCTTCCGGAGTTCTAGAGGAAGCCGAAGCCGAATCACCGCAATGGGCATAACACCCGACGGACTCTTCGGCTTGTCAGAGAGCGAGGACGAGTTCTTTGGTGATTCATCGGTCGCGTCTTTTCTAAAACAGATCAAAGAATCTGCAACAAAAGAGCCTGAACGAGGACAATCGACAACAAATCCGGTTCCGAGTGCGACATTTGGCACACCATCAATTCCAACGCCACCAGTGGCTGATAATAGTCTGAGTGTCAAAGCCTACCATCTACCACCCCGACAACTGGCTGACTATCTTTTAAACTTCTATTTCGATAAAATCCATAGTCTGTATCCATATGTTCATAAACCAAACTTTCTTCGCGCTTATAGGCGCTTATGGACGCCAGATACGGAAACAGACACAGAAACCATCTCGTCCGGACTGGGCTTAGGAGATGCCTACGTGCCCCCGGCACTGTTTCATTGCGCATTGAACATAATATTTGCTCTTGGATGCCACTTTTCTAAATTAGATCATACAGCGCGGCAAGCTACAGCGGAGGAGTTCTTTCAGCGTTCGCAGCGACTATTGAATGTGATGTCACTTGATAAAGGTGATTTATCCCTAGTACAAACCTTACTATTGACGTCGCAATACTTGCAAGGTGGCGAATCTCCATCGAGATGCTGGAATATAATTGGCCTTGCTTGCAGAATCGCTCAATCTCTCGGAATGCATTCTCTTAAGGCCGATAGGCCTAGGACACCGGCCCAAATACAGATGAGAAGGCGTGTCTGGCATGGATGTGTAATGCTTGATCTGTGAGTGAATCAGATTATGAACGTTCATATTACTGACAAAATCCTAAGTGCAAGTAGCATGATGCTGGGTCGTCCGCCCATGACTCATTCTTCCGCAGTACCTCTTCCAGAAGCTATCGATGATGAACTTCTCAATTCGACCACAGCAGCCTGTCAATCACCAGTGGGCACGCTTTCAAAAGCTGAGTTCTATGTCAGAACTCTACAGTTATACAAGATACTCAGAAAGATACTATATGAGGTCTATGAGCCTTGGGAGGACAGGGGGTCTCCTGATCAGTCAGAACGGCCAAAGTCCGAGAATGAGTTAGCACAGACCTTGCTCAGTTTAGATGAGGAGCTTCTGAAATTTGAATCAAGTCTCCCAGCGGCTCTACAATGGCGTGATGCACAGCAGCCCGCTGGTGTGGTTGGACCATTCCGTCGTGAAAGCAGCCTGTTGAGGGGAAGGTGAATACTACTGCGAATCGTTTGATGATACGTCACTGACATTGCCCCAGATTTCTTCATCTGAGGATCTTGCTTCTTCGTCCTACATTTGTCAAGTTCTGCCGTGACAATCTGCCACCGCGTCAAGCGGGCGGCTACCCTCGACACCAACAAGTACCGTTGAAAAGCAGAATAGCCGTGGATTTCAGTATCAGCTGCTCGACGTCATGTATCGAGACTGCGGTTGAGCTGTCGCATCTTATGAATGAAATTTCGACGACTGAACTGGCAAGTGTGTGGTGGTACAATGTTTTTTGTATGTGCCCCCCATGACGAGTATGAAGCGACGGCCGCTGAACCAAATCACTAGATGCTTTTACGGCTGGTGTTGTTCTTATATTGGCACAGGCATCCCCTGCTATGAAGTCTAGATTTTCTCAACCAGTCTTGGGCAATGCTTGGAAAAGCTGCTGTGACTGCTTGGAAAACATGGACCTGTACAGCAACACCGCCAGAAACTGCGCCATCAACCTGCGGAAGACCCTATCCCAAGTGCTAGGCGGCCAAGGGCATGAAACTAGTGTGTATATTGAGAAACCTGCGCCTCAAACTACAGACCGACAATTGGGCCAAGATGTTGTTTCATCGAAAGCACCGAATTTCTTTTCCAGTCTCGCTGGATCAGAGGTTAGCGATGGTGCCAGCCAAGGCGCTATGGATACTCAATTCTCTGAGGCATTAGACTCTCTCTGGAGTGGAGATGATGTGAATAGTTCCCTGATGGAGATGCTATGGGATGACCTTTGGTTGGCAGCGCCATCATTCTTCTGATATTCGTCAGAACATGATGAAGCTCCGCCTAATAAGAATTGAATAGAAAATATCGAAGAAGAGAGAGACACCTGGCCAACATACAAGACTTCCTAGGAAATCGACATTCATGGCCTAATTTATTATCATGATGGAAACCAATCTATTCCCATCTGCCACGGAATCACTTGTCGGATAAACCATGGAACATGGTCTAGAGCTATCAAGTTACATGGCCCTTCATTTATTAGAAAACGCCGATCTCCAAGGCGATCTTGCATGAACCCCGCACATGACAAGGTCATGTGTGAGGGGCTAGAAACGCTTTCCCTGTGCAACACTTAGCTGACACTATACACTGTTATAAGAATCCGCACAGTCAGTGCCCGAGTTCAAAGTAACCTACTCTGCAACCGTCGCATTGCTTATATACATTGACGTCCCCTTTTCCTCTTGGCACATACTATTGAAACATTCGTGGCGTCCATGACTGAGACAAGGAAAGTAGACGTGTTCATTAGTGGTGGTGGGCCTACTGGCTTGCTTACTGCGTATGCACTTGCTAGACAGGGTGTGGACACCTTACTCGTTGGTAGGGACTTTCTTACTTTCCTCCCTCAATGAATCTCCTCAAGAGGCTAAACTTCGCTGATTGCTCGGCTTAGAGCAACATGACAAAGCTCAACAAGCCATGTATGGTCGAGCAACAACTCTCCATCCGCGCACGCTTGAGTTGCTGGACCAATTGGGCGTATTAGATGATCTGAACCAAATCGGTTACGTGGCCCGCGATAGTGTGACTTACAGGGATGGCAAGCGGGTGACAGCCCGAGGCTGGGAGATTATGTACCAGCATATGCGTGGCACGTTCCTGGACTACTGTCTGAATATTCGTCAGAAGTACTCGGAGGAGGTGATACGAGATGCATATGTAGCGCTTGGAGGCGAGCCGTACATCGGATGGAGACTAGATGGCTTCGATGTTGAGGAGGCTTGTGATGACGATTATAGAATCGTCTCACATGTTACGGAGGTTAGCTCGGGTAGGAGGTTGACGGTGAGGAGGTATGCGGGCAGTCCACTGTATTGAAGAGAATCATGCTGATATTGCTGATTAGTAAATTCATCGTTGGCGCGGATGGCAGCCACTCGCTTGTGAGACGCCTCGCTGGCATTCCGTTTGAAGGCGATCACACAAACTTCAGATGGGTACGAATCGATGGGCGCTTCAAGACTGATATGCCCGATGCTGATATTGGCTTCGCTTCCATCGAATCCAAAAGCCACGGGAATGTGCTATGGGTTCAGTTAGATCATGGCGTGAAGCGGATCGGATTCGCCATGACACAAGAACTGCTCGCTAAATACGGGGATAAGCTTACACTTGAGGATGCGAGGGTGGAAGCTGTCAAGTCCATGGAGCCATTTTCATTGGAATTTGAGACCATTGACTGGTGGACTTTATATGGGTTGGTCTTGTTTCCAAGTCTCCATGTTCCTTTCTAACTTCCACTACAGGATCAACCAGCGCGTAGCAGAGTGCTTTTATGACAACGATCGAGTGCTACTAGCCGGCGACGCCTGTCATACACACTCATCTGGAACAGCACAGGGCATGAATACAGGCGTTCATGATGCAGTAAACCTAGCCTGGAAGCTCGGCGGCATCGTGAAAGGTTGGTATAGTATCGATGTGCTTCGCAGTTATGATACGGAGCGGCGTGCTGTAGCGCAATATCTAATCAACCTTGACAAGGATTTCTCGGCTACCATCTCAGGGACCGTCCCTGACAGGTACAAGGATCTATCATTAAGCTCGAATGAGCTATTTGCCAAGGTCTTCGATGATACAATTGATTTTTGTATCGGATTAGGAGTTCACTATGACAAGAGTGCCATCAACAAGCCTTCCTTGGTGACAGCAATATCAGCAGGCTGGAGAGCTCCAGATGCTTTGGTATATGCTCCTGGATCACGACTACCTATTCGATTGCTCCACCTGATGCCGAACGTTGGTGCTTGGACAATTCTTCTCCTGGCTGGACATCCCGAGACGACTGGGCAAAGACTCTCCCGTGCTATGGAGACATTGAAACAGTTTAGCGAGTGCCTTCCTCGCAGCATGGTTCGGTCTATGACTGTGGTTGCTCAGAGACCGGCTGGAGGAGACCAAAGGTTCAATATCCCGACAGTTGGTCGACTCTACTATGACCCAGAGGGCTCGGCCCATGCTGCCTATACGGTGGCTGATAGCAACGGTGCAGTCGTCATTATTCGACCCGATGGGATCTTGGGGTATGCAACCCAACTTGACGGGGCGAGTAGCGTACAAGAATATTTTGCCGGCTTCATTACCACCCACTGAAGATATATGGATGCTATGCTGGACTTTACAAGTTTGATAGCATGATGTGCGGCATGGCGTAGTCGTCGATTTGGCTACTATTTCAGCGACATCTTCTCACATTATGTGGAAGAGGTGCAATCCCCATGAAACCTGGCACAATGTAAGTGTAGCCGATCGAAGAGGAATGACATAGTTCGGTTTCGGGTGCTGTTTGGTAATATTACCGAAGCCGAAACATACCACTATGAGCCACCTCAAGTGGAACCTTTAGTTCCAAGCTTGATTCTCAGCACCAAATGAGGTTCCTGATTTTTGGGATTTGTCCCAAGCTTTCCGGCCGATGCTGATAATACCAGCGATCATTATGTATATGCATCGTTGCACTAAGAGGAATACACTACCTTTTGCCGTGGTATGAAGCTCGGAACCCCGCAGATCCTCGACCCGCCCCCGCAACCAGCCAGTGGCAGGTCGGTGAAAGATGACCTCTACCCGGCTAGCAGTAATTACAGTCCGACACACAACGTCCTTCTAGTGCTTATCAGTGCCACTGGCTCCCATGTTATTTAATCGACCTCTTCTTCCTCTATTTCTCTATATGCTTTCCCAAGACTCATCCAGGTCAATTCATCACCGACCAACTCACCAAGATGGGCCTGCTCAGTGACTTCACTCGACTTGATTCAACTCATCATGAATCCATTCCATACTTTCTGCCATATTTTGTCTGCTTATCACTCCTCTCGCTTATAAGTTACGTTCTATACATCCGCTTCTACAGCTCATTAGCCAAAGTCCCCGGCCCCTTCTGGGCCAGTCTTTCGCGATGGTGGCTGGTATTCTTCTCAGACAAAGGCAATATGCATCGATTGTATCCTCGTCTCCATGAGAAGTATGGCAAATTGGTTCGTGTCGGACCAAGCGAAGTTAGTGTGGCGGACTTGGATGCCATCCAGACGATTTATGGTATGGCCGCTTTTCACCTGAAATTGTTTCGTCAAAGCACTGACGCATCAACGTGTAGGGGCTGGAAACAGGTTCGCAAAGAGTGATTGGTACAGTGAGTCCACTCACCCTCTCAATCATACCGAAGTACATTCTTGCTGAAATAATACGAAGGCGTTTGGCAAGGTCGTCGTAAATTCGATCTCTTTGCAGAACGAAGTGAGATTATCCATGGTGCTCAGCGACGACTCGTCAACAATATCTACTCGATGAGTAGTCTCAAGGACTTTGAGCATGGCGTGGATGCAGTCGTCGAACGACTCATGCAGTGTCTACACCGGCAAGGGCCTGACGCAACTGTTGATATGGGGAAGTGGGTGCAGCTGTTTGCTTTTGGTAAGTTTTCCCAAATATGTTCAATGCATGTTACGTAACTTCTAATAAACGCAACCCAGATGTCATTGGAGAAATCACATTCTCCAAATCATTCGGTTTCCTCGAGAACGGAACAGACGGTGGCGCATTCAGTCAGATTGAGAACGCACTTCGCTCGGCTTCCTGGGTGGGACAAGTACCCTGGGTTTATTGGCTGCATGATTATATGACGCCTCTCATCGGAAGTCGCTTGGGTATCGCAGCGCGCCATGGTACGATCCGACAAATTGCAGCTCGTGAGATTATGGCCCGTAGAGAGGAAAAGCATGTCGAAGAGGCTAAAGAAGAGCAAGACATCTTATCCAAGCTCTTTGACGTGCAGAAGAAGAAAGGAAATCAGCTATCAGATGATGATGTGCTCTCAATGGCTACGTCGAATGTTTTTGCGGGCTCTGATACCACTGCTATCTCGATCAGATCGATCATCTACCATTTGCTGAGGACGCCAGCTTGCCTGAGGAAGCTCAGGGATGAGATTGAAGATCGGAAACGTCAGGGGAGGTTCTCGGACCCGGTTACGCTGGACCAGGCGAATGACATGCCGTATCTTCAGGCGTGCATGTGGGAGGGGTTGAGACTGCACCCAGCTGTAGGGATGACTCTGCCTCGTGTTGTCCCTAAGGGGGGGATTGTCATTGATGGGTGCTTTTTGCCGGAGGGGGTAAGATGACTCCAGTACCCATGGCTTGCTGATTGCCCAAGAAGGACTGTGGACTAATACAGGATGAAATAATAGACAACCGTGGGCGTCAACCCCTGGGTCGTTCATCGCGACGCCAGTATATTCGGCGACGATGTTGAAGCATTCCGCCCTGAAAGATGGCTAGGGGAGAAGACAGGCGATATGAGTGAGTCCATACCTCCACATTATGTTTTGATTCAGCTAATCAAATGCCTTCTATAATTAGGACGATACTTCTTCGCTTTCGGTGGTGGTTCGCGACTTTGCATTGGAAAGAGTACGTCTACCTCATCTTCGTCATACAAATTTCTATAGCTAATATTTATGACAGACATAAGCTGGATGGAAATGAGCAAGGTAATAGCCACCCAACCTATTGATACCACTCTCTACAACATAAACTAACCGAGCAATAGATGATCCCAACCCTCCTAAACCGCTTCGACATCCAACTCGCGAATCCAGATGAGCCATGGAAGGAAACATGTTGGTACGTATACTACCATCCACCCACAAATCGGATCAAAAACATACCATACCAGCCAAGTCAATACTAACACTATCCCAGGTGGTTCGTCAAACAAGAAGGTCTCCTCGTCAAACTCTCACCCCGCAAAACATAACCCCTACATCCTCACCAACCATGTCCCAAAATCACCCCAACTCATCAAATTGTACATACAACCCACCAAGACAAATCAATGATGACTATCCCTCCACTCCCCCACCCTAAAAACCCAATCCCTGACCAACGCCCCAAACACCCCCCTCTCACTCGCATCAACCGGCAACCCATGCGTCCCACGATCCAGCACCGCAAAAGTCGCCCTCGGATACCTCTCCAACAGACCCAAACAATCCCTATACCCTACACTCTCATCCTGCCTCCCACAAACCACCAGCGTCGGCGCCATCAACTTCTCCCCATCCCCATTCCCAAGTACCTCCTCACTCAACCGATACCTCCCCACATCCCCCCTTATCTTATCCAAAACCCCCTTATCAGCCCCCTCCTCCGCAGGAACATACACCTCCCGATACTTCCTCACCAACTCCCCCACATACCCCTCCGTCTGCACCAGCACTTTCCCCCCGTTCTCAACCCCGAGAAGCATCCTATCCTCCTCACCAAGCCCATTCATAACCCCCTCATCCCTAACCAACGGTTCAACCCTATCAACATCCCGCTTCCCATCCTCCGGCTCAACCAACGGCACTCTAAGAAGTAACCCATCTATCTGAGCCATATATCTCTGAGCGAGTGCACGCGCGAGATACGACCCGCAGGAGGATCCGACCAACATGAAGCGAGCATCTCCCAGAGTCGTGTCGATGAAGTGCACAAGGTGGTGGTAGATGTCATCGAGGGAGGTGATGTTTCTTGCTGGCGTGGAGGCCGTTCCTGGTAGGGCGATGTAGATTCGGCGCAGGTTGGAGTTGGGAATGTTGGGGCTGGTGAAGATGGGCTCGAAATCGTGCATTTCTGTTTCGGGCGTCATTTCCCAGCCGGGGATTATTAGGATTGGGTGGCCGGTTGGTGGGCCGTGGGTTTGTGTGGGGAGGGGGGTCATTTTCTTTTGGTTTCTGTGGTGGGATGGGTTGGGTTTGGGTATAGTACTATGTGAGGGATGGTGGTTGGGGATGTGCAGATTCAGTTTAGGAGAGTGGTTTCTGGGAGGGGATGGTTGGAGTCATAGGTTTTGTGGATTTGTCAGATCACGCCAGATCATCCATTTGGTTTTGTGGGTTGGCTAGTTTAGTTTGGGGCTCGGGCTAGTGGGTTTAAAGGTGTCAGGTCAGATACGAGGGTGGGATTCAAGCTAGTTGATAGGTAGCTAATCAATGTATTGCGCTGTGGGAGGACTTCAATATGTAGTGATGGTGTTGTGGTCGTCATGTATATATGAGATAATAGCTAATAGGGACTGAAATGCATGCAGATCATGAACAGGCTTGGCAAGCGGAAGAGTCATGGTCATGAACTCTATGATTCTTTGTGAAAATCTCGTTGCCACAACTGAAAAGGACTTCATTCGAACAATACCGGAGGCCGTACCAGTCGATCATTGCGAGTGCTCCTTCAGCCACTTGTACACCACGGAAAAGTCCTTCCCACGGTGTTCCTCCTCAACAGCATTATACACCTTCTGAGCAGTATCTGCCAGCGCCAAAGGTGTTTGCGACTCTTCCGCAGCAGTAATCGCCAGTCGAAGATCCTTATTCATAAGACTCACTCCGAAGCCTCCCTCGTAACCACGAGATGCGGGTGCCGTCTCAACCACTCCAGGTACAGGGTTGTTGACTTCCATGGGCCAACACCGGCCAGTAGATGAATTGACAAGCTCTGCCAAAGCCTTTGGGTCCAATCCCCATCGCATGCCAAGGTTCATTGCTTCCGCGGTCGCAATGTTGTTGATCGCTAGAATGTAATTGTTCGCCAGTTTGCCTGAAACGCCGGCTCCCGGGGCGCCCATGTGCCACGCCTTCTTTCCCATCATGAGTAGCACGGATCGCACACGATCAAGCAACTGACCAGTCTGCGAAGTGGCACCGAACATGAAGCTCAATGTGCCAGCACGCGCACCCACCACACCACCCGATACAGGGGCATCTACGAAGCGCCCTTGGGATGTGGTTTGTATAGCGTTTGCGATTTCCTTTGATGACGCAGGGTCGATCGTTGATGTATCGATGAACAGTCGCTCTTCTTCTAGCGTGGGAAGTTCACCTTCTCGTAGAATAGAGTGATAAACATCCTTGACATGCTGCGGCCCTGGAAGGCTGGTGATGATCACGGACTGGACAGTTCATCAGCAAACAAACCTAATTAAATGCGGGGTTCTCGTGAATGGATATGACACCCCAAATATGTAGCCTTAGAGTAGCAAACAATGTCCGATCGCAAAGCCACGTAGGGTCTCACATCGAGCGGTGACATCCCCCCGAATAGGAACGATCAACTTACCGACTTTTCCGCAAGTTCTCTCGCGGTCTGAGCCACCAGAACCTCCGAAGCGCCGTCAGCAGCGCCGCTGCTCCTAGCGATTTCTTCTGCTTCCTTCACGAATCTAGACATGTTCTCTTCATTCACGTCTCGAATAATCAAGGTATCCGTCTCAGGAATCTTAGCGCGCAGGTTCTTAGCCATGTTGTAGCCTGTGGTAGACAAAGAGATTGTCAATGTCAATTAGACAATGCCATTGAAAGACGTTGAAGGCTTCCCCGACCTGCTAATACCTACCCATTTGGCCCAGCCCAATGAATCCCCATGTAGCATCCCGTTGCGCAGAAGTTGAGAACGTGCGACCAGACAGAGCGTAGTGTTGCGTGAGACGGCATGTCGAGGGAGATGCTCTGAATAAGGCACCCCTTCCACTGCGAAGGGGCAGAGCACGCGAGAGACTCATTTCAAAAGAGGTATTACACGATAATGGGAGAGACCACTCAAGGTATAGTAGAGAGAGTAGTGCTAGGAAGAGATAGTATTTGTCGAAGGAAGAAGCGTAGTGACCTGGGGGAGCGAGCAGCTGTAAGTTGGAGAACAACCGAGCACCCCTCGGCCCAGTGGAGTGCTGGAAAGGTGGAACTCCGCTGCTTTCCGAGGCTTTCCATTCTTCAAAGTACCTCAAGCCAGGGGCATCATTGGGGAATGACGAATAGAGTTGAGAGTCGACGATCTTCCCTTTCCTGCCTTCAATGCGGGGAAGCCCCAATGCGGTATGGCGTCGGGGAGCGTCACGGGATGGGCCCGCCGCCTGGACCGTGAGGCATCCACTCTCCCCACTGGACTTCCCGAACACTACTACTGTACCACTCCATATCACTATATTCTCGTTTATATATCTTCTGATTCGATTAATTAATCTATAGATGTCTGTACTACATACGGCCAAGGAAATGATGAAACGAGGGCAGGCGAACAGACGTCAAGGAAGAGTAAACGAAGGAAACATCGACGAATGGGTATGTTGAACGCCAAATCACACCAAGCACCGGCTTACAATATCAAAGCAAAAGAAGGTCGCACGAGGATTGGAGTGATGATCGGTCCCATCACTGTTGTGCTGGGGAAGATGGGTTGCTCGTTGGCCCCGTCAGATACTCCGCAGGCACCTTGGGCACGCGCGGTGAGCTGGCCGTCTGAACCATTGCTCGCTGTTGGGCTCGAACCAGATCACGCTGTCTCTCCTTTTCCCGATTCGTAGCTGCCCCGCCGGTGAGTCGTCGCATACCGCTGCGGATCATGGATTCAAGGGATGAGGACCCGTCCGTGGCACTGCGCGTTTGACTGATAGGATGCGGCATGGCTTGTTTATGATCAGCCAAGCCGTCCTCTATCTCGTCATCGGATAGGAATGCCGACTCAAATCCAATCAAGGGCGTGTTATGATGTGCACTAGAACTCTGAGGCGTGAACAAATGATTGACTGGAGACGTGACGGAGCGCGTGTGGGAAACGGGCCGAGCAGTTTGACTCTGAGGCTGGGGAGTAAAAGTCCCGGGAGATGGCGTTCCCATGCTGTCGAAGCGCAGATTGGACGGACGGGACTCAGCAAGTCCATTATGGAAAGAGGACGTTGAGGCGGTTCGGGCAAGGGACTTGCGGAGGATTGGCGCGGTTTGCTGATCGTAAAGATTGGCGTTGGTATCGGCAAATGTACCAGTAAAGCCCCGTAGGGTGGAATCGGAAATAGGGTCCAGCGTTGCGTGCACCGGGTCTGTCTCCTCGAAGAAGTCATCCAGACTGTCTAGCTTCTGGACGATGTCCCCCATGTTGCCGTCCGTTTGCGTATCGATAGATTTCATCGTGTCCGCCCGCATGGGGAAGAACGTGTCATTATACTCGTCGGCGTGGAATTCCACCTCAGAGGGTGCTGCCTCCTGCACTTCCATACGGTCAACCTCCGCGCAAGTGTAGAACACTGCATGGACATTGTGTCGTGTGATGCTTGATTGCGTCGCGGGCATGGGTATCGACCATCCGGTGGGCTCCGGTATACCATACAAGCTCTGCACGCGCTCGTACTCCTTTCGGATAGCCCGAGAAGACGACGAGGAAGCCATGCTCATCCGGATGTGATGCTTCTCCATTGGATTGGCCGAGACGGTCATTATGTGGTCCATGACCTGCAAAGCTTGGGGACAGAGATCCGTTTGTAGCAGTCGCAAGAGAGGAGAGATCAGATCAGGCCCATGACACGTCACTTCTCCACGACGCATGTCCATGTCAGGTAACAGCACGCATAGTATTTTCATGACCTTGACGCGGAACCAGTTTGTTGTATTGGTCAGCAAGCCCATGAGGAAAATAAGACTTTGAACATCCTGGCGGGGGAAGTAATAAGACCGAATCTCCGTGATAATATGGTTCAGGAAATCGTTCTCCGCCTTGTATTGGCCGTTCGCAAACCCGAGCAATGAAGCTGCTAGTCGGGGGCATCTTTCACTTTCAGCGACCCTTGCCAGCAGTGTCGCGCGCGCCAATGTCTTGGGATCGTCAACATCGGAGTCAAATTGACGCAAAAAGTGAGACAGGTTGGCTAATATGGCGAATAATAACCTGTTACCATCACCAATGAGCTCGTTGTTTGGAAGAGCACTCAGTCGGTGCAGGATGTCCAGTGTTCGATTCAACGATTCAGATGACTTGAGACCCTTGTAGATCAAATCCTGGAGACCATCAAAGCCACCTTCCCACTTTGGCGGCTGGCCTTTGATGAGCTCTGAAACCACCATGGGGTCACTCATGTCGACACGGTCCAGGAACTTCTCAAGCATGCCAACGCTTTCAATAAACTCCGTTTCGTGTATGGTATTCAAGCAAGCACACGTAGTCCAGAACAGCTGGGGATAACGCAGCAGGTCAGTAGGCGCCAAAGAGCTGATAATGATCTTAAGTGTCGTAAGAATTTCCATGGAGAAGGTTCGATAGTCCGACTCTTCGTCTGCAATAGTGTTCGACAGACGGGCCAACATATCAGCCAGCATCCGGGAATCGAGAGACATGGATATGCAACGGAACACTTGGAACGACCGACAGGCGAGATGTCGCACTGGGCATGACGTCGCCCAGTTCAACGCTTCTTTCGCCCATAGGTCGTTCAGCCCTTCATATCCAAGGCTGAAGAAACCGACTACTTGGCGAGTGACAGAGGCCATTGATGGCGGAACACGGCTGCCGTCCTCTTCATCTTCTTTGTCACTGGCGTCTTCGTATTCCCACACAACCTTCGGATCACTCTTACGGATTGATTCCACAAAGTCTTCAATGGACTGCCGTGTTTCGATAGGCGCGTCATCCTCAACCTTTGCAGCGATCAACTCGTGTATCAGATGAACCAGCATTTCCCTGGCCTGTTCTTGCACAGTGAGCGTGTAATGGTCCCAGAGTATAAGGACAACATGGAGTAATTTAACCAAATCGTCCATGGTCAGTGTAACTGGCGCAACCATCAAGTCAACGAGGAAAATCAGCGCGACTTGGCCCAGAGAGAGGCCAGCTTGCTTGTTCCCAACAGGAAGTACTGTTCCGAGGTCTGTGACATAAGGTAGGCTTCTGGTATCAGGTGGCGCTGGTGTGATATCTTTCCTTTCTTGTACCATGTGCTTCGGCACGACCTGCAACAAGAAAAACTCAATAACCTTGGAGCCTGCGGGAGTTCCTGCCAGGAACACAACAACCTGTTTGGCATAATCCACAAAGTTCTGCTCTTTGCGTTCCAAACAGAGGCTGATGATGAAGTCAAGCACTAACTGTACGTTGCCACCATGCGGGCCGGTGGCCAGAGCTTGCCAAAGGGCCTGAACCTCGTTTGGAAGAATAGTACTGCAGCGGATCGTAATTTCAAACAGATTGGCCAGAAGCATATATGACTTGGCTGTTGGGCCGCCATTGGGATCGACTTGAAGCTCCATTGTCTGGACCCACGGAAGGATGGCAGCCACCATGTTCCGCTGGCTGTCCGGCCGCAGATTCCGAAAGTGCAATGAAAACTCGGAGAAGAGAGTGAAGGCCAGGTCAGAGTGTTGCTTCGCCAAACGTTTCGAGGTCTCGAATTGCGCAAGCTTGTAGACGGCGGTCGTCTTGTCGGAAATGCTGATGTCGAAGTCTTGTAATCTTGAACTCTTCTGTTGTCGCTCTTCCAAAATCCGAAGCAGCTTAGCAGACTTCATTCTGATCTCCCGTTTCGGGCTACCAAGTGTAACAAGTACGGCACCCAAGATTCTCCAAAACCCAAGCGGATAATCCTTATGCTCGATGAGCACTTCGGTTACGACTTCAAAGTAGCTCTCCAATGCCTTCGGTCGCTCTGTGACATAGCACATCTCGATGGACCGTTCCAACAAGTATGAGTGCTCCTTATTGTGGATGATTAGATTTTTCAAGGCCCGTCTACCAATGGCGTGCCACTTGTCACTGATTGTGTTGAAAATGATATCAACCCAAGAAAGCATCCGGCCCACGTCAAATTGGAGCACCGACCCGCTCTCTGTTGTAATACTAATCGGCCCAGCCTATAGAAGTCAGTCGGTAGCCCTCATAGGATGAAAAGTCAAGAAACTTACGCATAGGGATGCCATTGCACTGAGGGCTGCTGCGCGCAGGTTCTTCTTCTCTATTTCCATGGCTGCGGCAGTATTACGCAATTCGCCAGCCTCATGGTTCTGTGAGATGGCATTTCTCCGCATCGTCTCCTCACGTTGCGAGATCTGGGACTGATTGGGCGAGTATCCGCACCAGTCCTCCATAAGAGAGAAGGAAGACTTTCTTGACTCGAAAGGTATCCAGCGAGAGGGGTCTTTGGTACGATTGATACCCTCGAAGAGCTCCTCCATAAGCCCGCAGTAGTGGAAGCGAAGCCGCTGAAATTCCCAGTCGTTCTGCACCTCGGCATCACTCAAGAATATCCGCAAGTCCTTTGCATAGGTGACAAGGTTGTTGACAATCCAGTCATCGTTGTATACTTCGGATTCTTTGAGGAAGTGGGACGTTAATTTATAGACATGGGTGACTTCGGTCCGCAATCGGTCTGTCTTGCGATTGCGCCGTGGGCTGCTCGGAGAACGATAATGTGTACCGATCCGAACCTTAGCCTCTTCGTTGCAAGTCGTAACGGCGTACTGTAGAGACTCAAGTAGGGTGCGGTATAGGTTCATGTTGATCGAGCCTAGGGCAATCACAATAGCGTTTCGTATAGAAGATCGCTCGGCTGATAGCAACGGGATCACAAAGGCAAAGAGGCTTCGGGCGGAGCTTATTTTATCCTGCGACTGTTGTGACCCTTTCGATCCTTTCCGTGCATGCTGAGCGTTTGCCAGCTGACTCTGGGACTGCGCGCCTACGCTGTTGAGGGTGGTACAGGCCATGACCAAATACAGCTTCCACTGCTCAATCAAGATCTCGGCGGTTGTGTTACTCCTACCGAATGAGCGAGCTTGAATGGCATCAATCGGACCGTATTGAGGATACTGAGGACTCTCCGCAAGCGACGTAATGGTCTTGTGCATCAGGACAAGTCTCGCACACACGATCTCACGGCCCAACGTCACAGCGAAAGGACAGGTCTCGAAGCTAATCCGAATGATATTGGGAAATACCTTCGACCATAGTGTAGAGTCATAGGAGACTTCACTGCTGCACAGCTCAATCAGCGTGTTTTGAGTGGCGCTTCTTCGCTTGCCTTTCTGGATGCGACTCCTCTCAGCCACAGTTAGTTGTTCGTCATTGACGTCCAATATCTGTTGCGAGTCGGCCTCCAAGATCCGGATGATTCGCGTATTCTCCTTGCCGAGGGCGCTGTCAAATTCCGTAATAAGGCGGAGTACGGTGATCGCAAAAGCGCGAACCCTCCTCGATTGCGAGCAAAGGAAGAATAAGCCGTGGGACTCCACCTCCTCGACCTGGGCGAGAACGCTGGAAAGGTCCAATTGCAGAGCCCTGCTCCCAGTACCAGACTTATCGCCAGAGTCCGCCGCTGCATCTTTAGTCTTCTGCTTGATCTCCTCAATCCAGATCCTCAGCAACTCGACATACAATCTCAATGTAGATTCGATGTGGCCTGGCCCAAGCATGCCTTCGTCTGACATGGTGGAATATCTCGCGTCGAAATTGAATATAAACCTTGCGAAACCGATCGTCACCTGCTGGGCATGAGATTGCCGTGCAATTGCTTTCAGAGACTCGGCAGATGAGGACGCTATGTTTGTTTGAACATGAGCAGTGCCAGTACAAAGCAGATTGATCAGAGAATTGAATGGTATACGATCGGATAAACAGCGAGGCAGGGCTTGGACCGCGACGTGAAGAAGATCGTAGAAGCCCTGTCTCTGATCTAGAATGTTAGGATGATCATCCCGTCTTCCAAAACTGAAGGCCTCCGCAATCGGGGTCTTAGGAGTTGTCCCGCCGAATTTCTCATCCAGTGCTGCCTGTCCTCCGAAAGTGTTGTCGCATAAAAGAGTTATCTTGCCAAGGATGTCACAGAACCGGAAATAATAGTCTCTGACATTCTCATTCAGTCTTGCTGTGTTTACAGGCCGTGATACTGCATCCCCCTTATTCCCTCGGGCATTTGGAAGCCGGGGGTCAGCCAGAAACTGAGGACGGTGGAGATAGGTTGGAGAGGACATGTCGGTGAATGGGTTGGGGATCGAACCGGTGGGCACGGGAGGGCAAAGCTGATCAGAATTCTCGATGTCTGTCATGATGGCGAGGAAGGACCTGATTCCAATCACCATCTTTTCCGGCTCCATCTGTTCGATCTTTAGCTCTTTCCCGGAGAGAAAAAGATCCGAGCTGATCATTTGAAAGATAATGCTTCTGAAACAGACGTCAGGATGCTTAAAGCCAATCATCCGTATTAGTTGGATAAGAGGTTCTGCAACGGCCGGTTCTGTACTCAGATATGTCCTTTTGCCCGGCGGAAGCGCGATTTTCGATACTTCGTCGACTTTACGCAGTGTAGCTGTGGGCGATTCTGAATACCGGAAGAAGTAGGTCCACAGCAAGCGACACATTGCCTGTAGGGCCGGCCCTCTCGTTGGCCGGTCTTTTAATCTCGGCGGGAGCGACTGGACCAGTGAAAGCCACTGTGAGGAGAAGTTTTCCTTCGTCGACACGCACAAGAGCAGCACATGGAGGGGGAAAGCCACAGTCCAATGACGAGGCTTGGTTAGCATCTGTGACAGACGGGACTGGACTAGCTCTATAAAGTCTTTCCACTTGGGCAACGTCAAGTCAGAGTTGGGACTTGCAGCCACAGGTAGGAGTAACTTTTCGAAGATATAACAATATGCCTGTTTGACCCGTTGCCCATGAGAATTACCGAACAATCGGGCCAGTGAGCGTAAAAATTCGCAAGAGCGAGCCCATGAGTCGGGTTGTGTCTTAATCCGAATATGCCTCATCCCTAGGATTAGGAGTTCAGCTTTGGCGTCACCATCCCTGGACGGCCCACGAAGTGTTTCATCCTTCTGAATTTTTTCGAGCTCTGCCAAAAACCGAGCTGTGACGCTTGTGAAGTTGTTTTCGCTCATGATCCCTAGCACTTGGGAGTAAATCCTCCAGTTCGCCATGCGAAGAGGCGAAGCTGAGATCTGTTCGGGGTCTACTGTTTTGAGTTGACCGAAGACTATATCCTCTAAGCGGTCCGCCATGTCCAATGTGATCGAAGCAAGACTGCTCTGGTTGAATATTTCGATCAAAACCCTGCAAACCAGGTAAACGGACACCGTCGCACGCCGCTCCGCCAAGATGACATCGTCGTGCCGGGAGTAAAGTGTAGTCGCAGGAGATGCCGAGTCAGTCTGAGAAGCCGATTCCGCGATGATCTGGGGTGGCTCAGTGTTGCGGCGTATCAGGGACCCATTTTCGGATGTAGTCTTCTGACCAGCGGCCTGTTTGGCCACAATAGCAGCATCGCCTTTGGCCTTTCGCCATAGCATGATCGTATCAATCAGAGGCTTCGGTTTCTCTCGCGCGATATGACCCAAAGCAGAGATCAATTGATCAAAGTTTGAATCGACGCCCGGTCCGCATACCTCTTCAACTGGCGCGTCTGACTCACCCAGCTTCATTATAGCTTGGTTGATCTTATTGTCCGCTTGACCTACAAACTAGGGCCACTGTCAGCAGTCGGATTACGCTCGGCGAAAAAAGGTATACACTTACGGAATTGAAGAGATGGTGCAAAGCGTATTCCCCAACCGTCTTCGACTCTGCTCCAAAATGGTGCCTCGAGTGCGAACGGCTATGGGACCGCTCCTGCCACGGCTTTCCGTTGGAGTTCATTCTCCTGTGAGCTGTACTCGCCAGGGTCCCATCAGCGACATCATCCGTATCTCTATCCTCTATGGTGCTTAGTGTGCCCTGCAGACTGTGCACCGCTCCATTGGCCCCTTGGCCCTGGAAGCCCGAGGGTCCCTCGTTCTGCTCCATTCGTACAGCGCCTGTGCCTTCTGGGTCGGGGGCGCCACCGCGGCCGAGCGAAGCGATCAATTCGGGGCTGAGCGGGCTTGTAGAGGTTGTAGAGGCAGCGAAACTGGGATTTCGGGAGTGTTGGATTCCATGGACAATCGAGGTATTTCGATGATGACCGTAAGAGTTGGATGGTCTCCTCTCCAAGCCGACATCGTACCCAAGACCAGACCTCCCAGCGCTTGGTTCGGGACTTTTGGAATGGGAGTTGCCGCGGCGAGAGTGTTGAGGCTGTGAGGATGAAGGGGCTAAGGCGGATAGGTCGGCACCTCCTCTGACCGTGGAAGTTTCCCGACTGTGCACGGTGGACGATGGCGTACTTCTCGTGACAAGGCGTTCTGGTGGAGTTGAAAAGCTATGGTGCGACACAGGGCTCGAATCGTCAGGGATGAGGGGCAATGGCGTTGGCTGGATGGGACCAGCCTTGATCGACGGATGTGAAGCCACTACCACGAACAACAAGTTAGACGCGCGATTATCCAATCACTCAGGTCCATTAGAAGCGATAGATAGCAGGGTTAAGACCATCACAATGAGAATCCGTTAGGTCCGACCGAGCGATAGAAGACGGAGTCACGTACTGCTGTTGTCCGACGTCTGTCCGGGTTCAAACGCCACTCATTGCCTGCTAGTGCTCTCTTCAGTTGGAGCGAAAGAACCTGGGTGCACTTGCAAACAGTGCATGGTTATCTTCCGCACATTAGATTGGAGACGAAATCGATGGATAGGGTGGTTGTCTGGGATTGAGGTAGCGTCACTTGGAGCTTTGTTGCTGGAGCAGCTTCCAGCCTTTGCTCGCGACCGGAGAGGCTCTGAGCACGGGGACCATACCGGCCCCCGAGGATCAAATTCAGGAAAGAAAATCAGCACATCAGAATGATCCTAGGGACCATTTCGCTCATTACACCATTCCACGCTTTTATTATGCATAATTAAGGGGGGTTTTCTTCGACACCCTTGTCTTTGTTCCTTTGAGAGGGACTTCCTATGTCTCAGTATATAGTATAGTCGGCCATATTGACGATACTCACCCCCAGCCAATCTTATCGGTAGATAAGAAGCACCCCGAAACTTTGGTTCCAGTCAGACTAGTCAACAGTCACAACTGTTCACATAGTTTTCAACAGTATGGTTGCTGATCTACATGAGTAGGATGCATTTATATGCTGGAACACACTGCATTCTTCAGTTTTCACACCATTGACTTTACCAGATGCCTAACCAAAAAGGTTATCATAGCCGATCATGATGTGAGAAACAAGTCGAAGCCATAAGATTCTCAGATTCCAGAACTCTTGAAATGGCCACTTTAGGTAAATTGAAATGTGAACTTGGCTACTAGCAGTAAATTACTGCTTGTAATGTCAGTTACTCACCATAGTTAGTAGTAGTCCCGGTACAAGAAGAATGAAATTGCTTCTAAGTAGAATGACCAGTGCGGAGACAGCCAAGAACATGATCCGCAAATTAATCTTGTGAAGAATGCAAACCCATATATAGTTACTAGTAGCGAAGCATTCCCGGACAGGATCACATGTGATATACTGGCAATTGAACTTCCATCCCGAGTGATATAAGTCGATTGAGGATGATCTTACGAGAGCCGTTTTCCATTAGCACCATGCTTACCAGTGTGACTAGATCTAGGAATAGAAGGTTCGTATAGATATGGGTCGCATATACGGAGTAGTAGGGCACGATGACATGAAGCCCACAACAGTCTGACACAACACACTCCTTCTACTCCAATAATACGAAGAAAAGAGTTCGAGCTATACCAGCAGGCTTTCAAGAGTGTAGCAGCAAGTCCAAGTCCTATAAAAATAAATACCTGATAACACTGGAATCATTTCAGATTGTTTAAGATGGTGCGGAATTCGTCCGCGAGAAGGGTTGCCAGTGTATACAGAGCATTTGGTGCACTAACCAGTACACAAAGTGCGGAACGGGTGCAACTTCCCCAGGAGCGGAAAACAGGCAGAAGATGTGCCGCAGTCACGAGCAGCATTATCCAAGGTCAGCCACCACCTGCCTTTAGAGTCGACACGCACGGGGGCGGATTGAGCAGATGGGGTCTTCCAGTTGCATCCTTGCAGACAGCTGACAGAATTGGCTGTCGGTGTGCGTATTTTGAAGTCGGTATACGAAGCATAAAGAATCGGATATGCATGGACTACAGATTACTACTAGTAGGTAACCATCTTAAGTTCTTGTACCTGAATCCAGTTTTCTTCCCTTATTGGCAATTGGAACAGGAAACTATGATTCGCAGTTCATTTGACTGGAACTCCAGATTTTCAGACACTCCGGACTTGCCACCTCCACGGGGTTACGGGAGAACGGCACAGAGAGATTGCCTTCATATGCCAGTCTATCACAAGAATTACTGAAAGTGGCACAGGATCTGGAAAGGCGGAACTCGGTTAGCAGAGGAACTCGGCAGCGAGTTACGGAAGATCGCCCCAGATGAAACAGAGGAACAACTGGTCATTACTGGCTGCGCCTTCATGGCTCAAGGGCCTCCGCCGCCACTTTCCATCGTCTCTCAGCCAAGCCAGGGCCGAAGTCCCCTTCCGAACCAGACGCCATCTCGGTCAACGGTCGGCCAATGGGAATTCCCCACTAAGAGGGAAGGCAATAGCAGTACTTAGTATAATAGATAAATAAAAGGAGAGAGATAGACCATCAGGAAGCTCTGACTATTACTACTTTGACTTCAATTTTAGAGTTGTACTACACATCCTACGTTTCTCTTTTTCCCTCGGAAGGTTTGAGTCACAGATCGTTGTCTTTGGAAACCCTCCGGCAACCGCTCTCTTAACTAGCGATACTTCCCATATCAGTGACAAGTGTCTAATAGTAGTCTAACACTACTATTGCCAACAGACTCACAGTACTACTGTGTAGTAATATAGGATAGTGTGTCCTGACCCTGATACGAGAGATCTGATAAGTCCTCGACAAATCGGAGTAACAGAAGGACAACAAGTTGTTGGAGTATCACTGGTCCGTGTGAGAAACCCGGACAGGATCAGCATCTCCGAAACCGAGCCTCCGAGGCGAAAAGGCCACCATCGCCTCAGGCTGCCACCACCTCTGCTCTTTCTCTGTTTCTCTTTCTCCCTCTCGTGTCTGTCGATCGTCTACTTCCGCTTCCCGGCTCACGCCCCCCAAATTATGCGGTCTGCTTAGCAGTGGGTTCGGCCTCTCTGTTCTTCCTGGATCACACCACGGCTTACTTTCTTATCCTCCTTCTCCTCTTTTTCCTTCTTCTTCTGTTTTCCACCCTTTCTTTCTTTTTCTTGTTACCCACCCCCATAGCGTCATTCTTTCTTCCCGTTTTATCCTTTGGCTTCGGGGACGCCGCCACCTTATCTCGGTTCCTGCCTCGGCTCCGGTGATCGCACCTGGGACAGGCTAAGCGTAAGGAGGTGTGACATTCTTCTTTCACCTCCTCCCCTTTTCCCGCCTCTCCACTCCATTCAATCCCCGCTCCACCCTTTAAGTCTCGCCATTTAAATCAAATCGGGGCCTTTCGCTTCGCGCCGCTGAACAGCCTCACCATGGCGCAACTCGATACCCTCGATCTGGTGGTCCTGGCCGTGCTTTTGGTGGGTAGCGTGGCCTACTTCACCAAAGGCACCTATTGGGCAGTTGCCAAAGACCCTTATGCCTCCACCGACCCCGCGATGAACGGCGCGGCCAAGGCTGGCAAGACTCGGAACATCATTGAGAAAATGGAAGAAACGGGCAAGAACTGTGTTATTTTCTACGGATCGCAAACCGGAACCGCTGAGGATTACGCCTCCAGACTGGCCAAGGAAGGATCTCAGCGATTCGGCCTCAAGACCATGGTGGCTGACCTCGAGGAATACGACTATGAGAACCTGGACCAATTCCCGGAAGATAAGGTTGCGGTTTTCGTGCTCGCCACCTACGGAGAGGGCGAGCCTACGGATAACGCTGTCGAGTTTTACCAGTTCTTCACCGGCGACGACGTTGCTTTTGAGAGCGGCGCTTCTGCGGACGAGAAGCCTCTGTCCAAGCTGAAGTACGTTGCTTTCGGTCTGGGTAACAACACTTATGAACACTACAACGCCATGGTTCGTCAGGTCGATGCTGCTTTCCAGAAGCTCGGCGCTCAGCGTATTGGTTCTGCTGGTGAGGGTGATGACGGTGCCGGTACAATGGAAGAGGATTTCTTGGCCTGGAAGGAGCCTATGTGGGCCGCACTGTCTGAGTCAATGGATCTGCAGGAGCGCGAAGCTGTTTACGAACCCGTGTTCTGCGTCACTGAGAACGAGTCCCTGAGCCCCGAAGATGAGTCGGTCTACCTTGGAGAGCCCACCCAGAGCCACCTTCAGGGTACTCCCAAAGGCCCGTACTCTGCGCACAACCCCTTCATCGCCCCTATCGCCGAATCTCGTGAGCTTTTCACCGTCAAGGATCGCAACTGTCTGCACATGGAAATCAGCATCGCTGGAAGTAACTTGTCCTACCAGACTGGTGACCACATCGCTGTTTGGCCCACCAACGCTGGTGCCGAAGTGGATCGGTTCCTCCAGGTTTTCGGTCTCGAGGGTAAGCGTGATTCGGTTATCAACATCAAGGGTATCGATGTTACGGCCAAGGTCCCGATTCCGACCCCCACCACGTACGATGCCGCTGTTCGTTACTATATGGAAGTCTGCGCCCCTGTGTCCCGTCAGTTTGTAGCCACTTTGGCCGCGTTCGCTCCGGATGAGGAAAGCAAGGCAGAAATCGTGCGTCTGGGTAGCGACAAGAACTATTTCCACGAGAAGGTCACCAACCAATGCTTCAACATCGCTCAGGCTCTTCAGAGCATTACGTCCAAGCCTTTCTCTGCTGTTCCGTTCTCCCTGCTTATTGAAGGCATTACGAAGCTGCAACCTCGCTACTACTCGATCTCCTCGTCTTCCCTTGTCCAGAAGGACAAGATCAGCATCACGGCCGTTGTGGAATCTGTTCGTCTGCCCGGTGCCTCTCACATGGTGAAGGGTGTGACTACGAACTACCTTCTCGCGCTCAAGCAGAAGCAGAACGGCGATCCTTCCCCCGACCCTCACGGCCTGACTTACTCCATCACTGGTCCCCGCAACAAGTACGACGGTATCCACGTTCCCGTGCATGTTCGCCACTCGAACTTCAAGCTGCCCTCTGACCCCTCTCGGCCCATCATCATGGTTGGACCTGGTACTGGTGTTGCTCCTTTCCGTGGGTTCATCCAGGAACGCGCTGCTTTGGCTGCCAAGGGCGAGAAGGTTGGACCCACTGTTCTCTTCTTCGGTTGCCGCAAGAGCGACGAGGATTTCTTGTACAAGGATGAATGGAAGGTAAGTTATTCGTTTTCTCAGATGATCTTGTTATCGGAAGCTAACATATCGCGCACTCGCAGACCTACCAGGACCAGCTTGGGGACAACCTGAAGATCATCACCGCGTTCTCGCGTGAGGGTCCTCAGAAGGTCTACGTTCAGCACAGACTTCGCGAACACTCCGAGCTTGTCAGCGACCTTCTGAAGCAGAAAGCTACCTTCTACGTCTGTGGTGACGCCGCAAACATGGCTCGCGAGGTTAACCTCGTGCTTGGCCAGATCATTGCTGCGCAGCGTGGTCTGCCCGCCGAGAAGGGTGAAGAGATGGTCAAGCACATGCGTAGCAGCG